GTCTTGGCGTGACACACGTGGACTTCATCGCCTTGGACCGATTGGACTTCCTCGGCTGTTGTCTTGAAGTGACACACGTGGTCTTCATCACCTTGGACTGATTGGACATCCTCGGCTGTTGTCTTGAAGTGATACACGTGGTCTTCATCACCTTGGACCAATTGGACTTCCTCGGCTGTTGTCTTGGCGTGACACACGTGGACTTCATCGCCTTGGACCGATTGGACTTCCTCGGCTGTTGTCCTTGAAGTGACACACGTGGTCTTCATCGCCTCGTACTGATTGGACTTCCTCGGCTGTTGTCTTGGCGTGACACACGTGGACTTCATCGCCTTGGACCGATTGGACTTCCTCGGCTGTTGTCTTGAAGTGACACACGTGGACTTCATCGCCTTGGACTAATTGGACATCCTCGGCTGTTGTCTTGGCGTGGCACACGTGGTCTTCATCGCCTTGGACTAATTGGACATCCTCGGCTGTTGCCTTGGCGTGACACACGTGGACTTCATCGCCTTGGACTGATTGGACATCCTCGACTGTTGTCTTGGCGTGACACACGTTGACTTCATCGCCTTGGACTGATTGGACATCCTCGGCTGTTGTCTTGGCGTGACACACGTGGACTTCATCGCCTTGGACTGATTGGACCTCCTCGGCTGTTGTCTTGGCGTGACACACGTTGACTTCATCGCCTTGGACTGATTGGACATCCTCGGCTGTTGTCTTGGCGTGACACACGTTGACTTCATCGCCTTGGACTGATTGGACTTCCTCGGCTGTTGTCTTGGCGTGACACAACTGTCAACTGAAACATTGTCAAACTAATAGAACCCTGTTGCCTAACAACACTGGACATTCTCTGTCGTTGTCTTGACGAGTTTTATTCTGCCAGGGTCCCGTTGTACAAAACAACCTTACCGCTAAGGCTACCTTAAGTGTAGGTTAAGGTATGGGATTTACGGTCACCTTAGCGCTAAGATCGTTTTGTACAGCGGCACCCTGGACGTCGGCTGTTGTCATCATGTGTCGTCACGGCAAACGCGGCTCCTGACTCCGCGCGGTTGTTTCACTGTTGTGCACCGACTGATTCCGAGTGGATCACATCAAACTATGCATTACTTGATGTGACGACAGATGAGGAAATCACTCAAATTGTCAACAAAGGTGGTGACATGTATACACAGATAACACACAGGAACTATTTGAAAAGACAGGATAACGTTTGAGGAAAGAATTTTAAGTTTCACTCCACCCCAGAGTTTCATGTTGCACACAAGCATTGACATACATACTGCTCATGTCATCAGTCAATTGCATACGGATTGTTTCATAAACAATGGTTACGCCAGGACTTGCGCCGTCTCTGTCAGTACCACACGTAAACAGCTCATCTTCGCAAGTTTCCAGCAATAATCACTGATATTCCAGAATGTGATGCTAGCCTGGATGTCAGGCAGAAGATTGTCTGGTTCAGGCTTGAACACTCTGTATTTACACACCGTCATTTATAGCGGGAATATTGCTGCAAAACACAACGAAAGGTTAGAGATACCGCCTTTTCAAACAAACGTTAAGATATCTGACCTAAAATCTGTTTTGGTTGGTTGGTTGTGTACCTTTCGACTGATCTGTACATAGTCTTGACACATGAAGTGGAACACTTTTTATGGATAGATAACTTCTTTGTTGCAGTAGTAGTTGCGACTTTGTTGCAGTAACAGTCGCAACTACTACTGCAACAAAGAAGTTGTCTATCCATAAAAAGTGTTCCACTTCATCATACCAGCTTCTAAATGCCACTTAAGGAATGTCTTGACACATGACAACATCTGTCATCCCAAGCTGGAACTCTCTTCAATCTCCTGTCACTACACAATCCAGAGATTGAGTAATGTCAGCGTTCCAGAGATTGAGTAATGTCAGCGTTCCAGAGATTGAATAATGTCAATGTTCCAGTGGTTGTGTAATGTCAATGTTCCAGTGGTTGTGTAATGTCAATGTTCCAGAGATTGAGTAATGTCAATATTCCAGAGATTGAGTAATGTCAATATTCCAGAGATTGGTTAATGTCAATGTTCCAGAGATTGAGTAATGTCAATATTCCAGAGATTGAGTAATGTCAATATTCCAGTACTCGATGTCAATGTTCCAGAGATTGAGTAATGTCAATGTTCCGGAGATTGAGTAATGTCAATGTTCCAGAGATTGAGTAATGTCTACGTTCCAGAGATTGAGTAATGTCAATGTTCCGGAGATTGGGTAACGTCAATGTTCCAGAGATTGAGTTATGTCAATGTTCCAGAGATTGAGTAATGTCTACGTTCAGAGATTGGGTAATGTCAATGTTCCAGAGATTGAAGAATGTCAATGTTCCAGAGATTGAGTAATGTCAATGTTCCAGAGATTGGGTAATGTCAATGTTCCAGAGATTGAGTAATGTCAATGTTCCAGAGATTGAGTAATGTCAACGTTCAGAGATTGGGTAATGTCAATGTTCCAGAGATTGAAGAATGTCAATGTTCAGAGATTGAATCAATGTAATGATTGGGTAATGTCAATGTTCCAGAGATTGAATAATGTCAAGCGTTTCAGAGATTGAATAATGTCAATGTTCCAGAGATTGAATAATGTCAGCGTTTCAGAGATTGAGTAATGTCAATGTTCCAGAGATTGAATAATGTCAGCGTTCCAGAAATTGAATAATGTCAATGTTCCAGAGATTGAGTAATGTCAATGTTCCAGTAATGTCAATGTTCCAGAGATTGGGTAACGTCAATGTTCCAGAGATTGGGTAATGTCAATGTTCCAGAGATTGAATAATGTCAATGTTCCAGAGATTGAGTAATGTCAATGTTCCAGAGATTGAGTAGTGTCAATGTTCCAGAGATTGAGTAATGTCAATGTTCCAGAGAGAGATTGGGTCAATGTCAATGTCAATGAGAGATTGGTAACGTCAATGTTCCAGAGATTGAAGTAATGTCAATGTTCCAGAGATTGGGTAATGTCAATGTTCCAGAGATTGAGTAATGTCAATGTTCCAGAGATTGGGTAACGTCAATGTTCCAGAGAGATTGGGTAACGTCAATGTTGCAGAGAGATTTGGTAATGTCAATGTTCCAGAGATTGAGTAATGTCAATGTTCCAGATTGGTAATGTCAATGTTCAATGTAATGTCAATGTTCCAGAGATTGGGTAACGTCAATGTTCCAGAGATTGAATAATGTCAATGTTTCCAGAGATTGAATAATGACAGCGTTCCAGAGACAGAGATTGATGTCAATGTTCAGAGATTGAATAATGTCAATGTTCCAGAGATTGAATAATGTCAATGTTCCAGAGATTGAGTAATGTCAATGTTCCAGAGATTGAGTAATGTCAATGTTCCAGAGATTGAGTAATGTCAATGTTCCAGAGATTGGGTAATGTCAATGTTCCAGAGATTGAATAATGTCAATGTTCCAGAGATTGAATAATGTCAATGTTCCAGAGATTGAGTAATGTCAATGTTCCAGAGATTGAGTAATGTCAATGTTCCAGAGATTGGGTAATGTCAATGTTCCAGAGATTGGGTAATGTCAATGTTCCAGAGATTGAATAATGTCAACAATGTTCCAGAGATTGAGATTGAGAATAATGTCAATGTTCCAGAGATTGTAATGTCAATGTTCCAGAGATTGAATAATGTCAATGTTCCAGAGTTTGAGTAATGTCAATGTTTCAGAGAGATTGAATAATGACAGCGTTTCAGAGATTGAATAATGTCAATGTTCCAGAGATCGAATAATGTCAGCGTTACAGTAATTGAATAATGTCAATGTTCCAGAGATTGAATAATGTCAATGTTCCAGAGATTGGGTAACGTCAATGTTCCAGAGATTGGGTAATGTCAATGTTCCAGAGATTGAATAATGTCAGCATTCCAGAGATCGAATAATGTCAATGTTCCAGAGATTGAATAATGTCAGCGTTCCAGAGATTGAATAATGTCAATGTTCCAGAGATTGAGTAATGTCAATGTTCCAGAGATTGAGTAATGTCAATGTTCCAGAGATTGAGTAATGTCAATGTTCCAGAGATTGAGTAATGTCAATGTTCCAGAGAGATTGAGTAACGTCAATGAGTAATGTCAGAGATTCAGATTGTAACGTCAAGTTCCAGAGAGTAATGTCAATGTTCCAGAGATTGAGTAATGTCAATGTTCCAGAGATTGAGTAATGTCAATGTTCCAGAGATTGAGTAATGTCAATGTTCCAGATTGTTCCAGAGAGATTGAGTAATGTCAATGTTCCAGAGATTGAGTAATGTCAATGTTCCAGAGATTGGTAACGTCAATGTTCAATGTTCCAGAGAGATTGGGTAATGTCAATGTTCCAGAGATTGAGTAATGTCAATGTTCGTCAGAGATTGTAATGGTAATGTCAATGTTCCAGAGATTGAGTAATGTCAATGTTCCAGAGATTGAGTAATGTCAATGTTCCAGAGATTGGGTAACGTCAATGTTCCAGAGATTGAGTAACGTCAATGTTCCAGAGAGATTTGGTAATGTCAATGTTCCAGAGATTGAGTAATGTCAATGTTCCAGAGATTGGGTAATGTCAATGTTCCAGAGAGATTGGGTAACGTCAATGTTCCAGAGATTGAATAATGTCAATGTTCCAGAGATTGAATAATGTCAATGTTCCAGAGATTGAGTAATGTCAATGTTCCAGAGATTGGGTAATGTCAATGTTCCAGAGATTGGGTAATGTCAATGTTCCAGAGATTGAGTAATGTCAATGTTCCAGAGATTGGGTAATGTCAATGTTCCAGAGATTGAATAATGTCAATGTTCCAGAGATTGAGTAACGTCAATGTTCCAGAGATTGAGTAATGTCAATGTTCCAGATATTGAGTAACGTCAATGTTCCAAAGATTGAGTAATGTCAATGTTCCAGAGATTGAGTAACGTCAATGTTCTTGAGATCCTGCTATGTCAGTTTTCCAGTTACATTATTTTCCAGTGACCAGAGTTAACCATGTTCGACGACGACCTCGATGACGACGACCCCGATGACCTTGCCCCCTTTGTAGGTCGAAACGACGAAAGGGAAGCAATCAAGATGATGCTGGGGCATTCTGTGAGAGCTGTTCAACTAGTTGGATCACCCATGGTTGGCAAGAGCTGTTTGGCGGAAAAGGTATGTGATGCATCAATTTTATTCCCTTTCGATCTGGAAAGATCCACGCCACACCCTTCTCACCGCCGTGATATTCCTCCAAAGTTGAATCGATGACTAGACTTGTATACCGCCTCATCCACGAACCACATGTTGAAGTTCATTTCTTGTTTCAAATGCCTTGAATCTCATTCATTTTAAATTCAGGGCTACTTTTTGTATTTTTAAAGTTTCTACGATGGATGTCCATTAGTCCGTTGGACTGTCCAGCGTGTGTCAAGTTGTACTAGCTACTGGTCACGAAATGTCCGTAGGATTCCCCGAGTATCACATGTAACAGTGTTGTAGCTTTAAGAGTAGCTTTAATAATTCATTCACGAACCACAATCAAAGTTTTACTTTAAACGCGTATATTCCATTTTAAGGCGCACATTTAGTCGAGTGGTCTAGGGCAAGGGCACTTTCTATGCATAGTTTCATCGTTCCGGGGTACAAGAAACCCAAGATCGTTGGTTCGAATCTTAGATGCGTCCTGATTGTGTTTAAACGTTGTCAGCACCATATCAAAAACTTTCAGAAGGTGACAAACGTCTATGATCTTCATAACCCCTGTCAATCAGTGACTGCCTCATTATTTACGTACATTTTGCATATAATGTATATACAACAATAATAGATCGTTATTTGCTTGTCAACTTAGACAAAAGGCCGACTCGTATTAATAAGCAATGCATATTCAGTTTTCTTATTAATGACGTTCATTTGCACATGAGCTGCATCTTGTTGGCAGGATATGTACTGCAACAAAACCAAATGTAGACGAAATAACCATTTCCGTTCATATCCGGGTTCGGTAACCGTGACACGCGTCACGCTCTGGTGTCTGTTTCAGATCTCCCGCGAGCTCCAGCAAGAGATGGCGGCAAAAGACCGGAAGCTGATGTGCTACCATATGTCCTGCATGGACGTGCTGACGGCTGATGACTTCCTAGCTCGTCTCAGTGCTGGCTTAGAACTACCGTCAACTGCAACATCATACTCGTCGTTGGTCAACAGCTTCAAGAAGATTGCGAAAGATGATCCAAAGTGTTCACACTTCTTCGTGTTGCTGAAGTGTGAAAGCTTTCACAGAATCGGACTTGACATACAGTTTCTGGATCTTGTCAAGAAGCTTATGGAGACTTCAAACCGTGCCTTCGCCATCATAACAACACAGAAAGCATTTAACTTCCCACCAGCAAGACAAGTGCCTATCAATCCTCTCTCTTCACAGGACACTGTGACCTTGGTGAAACGCTGCGCTCCCGACGTTGACATTGACCCGTACAGAGATGCCATTGAGAAACACTGTATGGGGCTACCTCCCTTGGCTATGGACGCTGCGCATCAACTGGTTAAGGCACAGGGCATACCTCTGTCTCCTTATGAGTTTGAGGAGGTTCTCTCAGGGGCGAACAGATCACGGAGAATCCATACGTCACATGACGTTCTAAATTCCGCCGCTTTGCGTCAGTTCCAAGGCCTTAATGACTTCCTGAAACAAAGGATACTTGATATTTCCATTTTCAAAGGATCTTTCCGTGTGGACCACATTCTGAAACTCCTTGGCCAAAACCAAGCAGAAGCCAAGGCCCAGCTCATTGAGATGAGAAACTCAGGAGTGGTCGAACTGGAACATGGCGGACAGCGAATGCATCTTCAGACCGTTATCAGCCATTATGTCCGGAATATCATGGGAAACCACATTAAATACAGTGATACTGTTCGCCTGCAGTTTGTGACGTTGTTTCTTGACGTTCTTAAGAAGGCAGACTCGGAGCTGTTCGTCAAGCCACAACAGACAGTGTTCGGATACCTCCACGATGACTGGCCCAATCTCAGACAGGTCCTAGAACAAGCGATCCACTGCACAGAGAACACCTACCCTGCATTTTTGCAAGTATGTCTGACTAGGACAAATTCAGGATTCAGGATATTCGTGCTTGTGTATTGTTGAGTAGGGTGTTGGGTGATGACGTACTGGTGGTTTGGGTGCAGGGATTTTGTAAGTCGAGTTGAGTGTTCCCAGAGAGAGGCAGTCCTATATCTGTAGATACCCTGTTTGTTCCTGTACTTCCAGGTGGCCATGTCTGCCTAGAACCTGCTAGTTAAGTGTTTCCCAGAGAGAGGCAGTCCTATATCTGTAGATACCCTGTTTGTTCCTGTACTTCCAGGTGGCCATGTCTGCCTAGAACCTGCTAGTTAAGTGTTTCCCTAAGAGAGAAGCAGTCCTATATCTGTAGATGCCCTGTTTGTTCCTGTACTTCCAGGTGGCCATGTCTGCCTAGAACCTGCTAGTTAAGTGTTTCCCTAAGAGAGGCAGTCCTATATCTGTAGATGCCCTGTTTGTTTCTGTACTTCCAGGTGGCCATGTCTGCCGAGAACCTGCTAGTTAAGTGTTTCCTAGGAGAGGCAGTCCTATATCTGTAGATACCCTGTTTGTTCCTGTACTTCCAGGTGGCCATGAATGCCGAAAACCTGCTAGTTAAGTGTTTCCCAGGAGAGGCAGTCAAATTCTACGAAGCCATGATGTGGTCGGCTACCAGATTCGGCAACCCAGAGGAATGTGCCATGCAGAAATGGCTGCTTGGCATGGCGAAAACTCTCAGCAAAGGTATTGTTATCACGACCACGTCACGTCGTTACCAAAAGTTTGATAAACTCCAGGCTCGTTACTATGGCGACCCTGCTAGCCAGAAAATTACAACTGAGGGAAAGCGCATGTTCCATTTGAGAACTGACTGCAACACACATTTCACATTTCCAGGAACCCTTGAAGGTCCGGGTTAGAATGAACCTTCAGTAACCCATGCTTGTCGTAAGAGGCGACTAACGGGATCGGGTAGGTCAGGCTCGCTGACTGGGTTGACACATGTCATCGCTTCCCAATTGCGTAGATCGATGTTCATGCTGTTGATCCCTGGATTGTGTGGTCCAGACTCGATTATTTGCAGACCGCTGGAATATTGCTGAGTGCGGCGTAAAACTCAACTCACTCACTCATTCACATTTCCAGGAACGGACTTAGTGGAAGCAATGGGGTTATTCAAGGAGGCTCTTCCGGTCTTGCGCAGTGGAAACACACCTGAGGCACTGGTGTCTGTAATGGCGGACATGGGCCTCAACTATTGTCGACAGGGCAAGAACACAAAGTCGAGAAAGTAGGTGCACATTTGGAGAATCATCCAGATTTCAACGACCACGTGACAGGTCGACTTCTATGACCTGCGTTAGTTACGGACCCCCGTCATAAAGTGCATCTGCTAACATAAATTGTATGAATTTACCTTAAAGCAATATTTACCTTTAGGTACGTTGTACGTATCTTCTGTATCCGTTGTACTGAAAGTCATTAAGAATACACTCAAGCGTTGTATGTTTACTGATATAAGATCCTGGTTGCCAAAGTGCGCACGCTGACTTTCTACCTCTATAACTCCATAAACGCAAAACAAAGGGAAGAATATTTTTTTAACAATATACGTGAACTAAATATAAACAGACTTTTCTAATCATTAACAATAAACGAAAAGCTGACAACAATAAGTAGTTACATCGTTCCTCGTCATAACGTCATATTAGCCCCGCCTATTCTAGTATCAAGCAACTGGTTGGCCGCTTGTGGGCAAGACCTGAAAAATAGAACCCTCAACTTGGCCCTCTTTTTCACATTTCCGTCTAATGGCACGGAATCACTTGCCGTGTAATTACTGTGGGCACATGGGCTACAATGAATGAGCTTCTTGTCTTGCAACATACTGATCTTGAAGAAATTTCGCTCTAAAAATGTAGCTACACAACACTTGTGATACTGATTTTGTGAGCAAGATGTACCAATACGAAGATACGTATCGAAACCTTTTGGCAGTCACTTATAATCTACTATCTGTGTTATGGATGCCCTGCCCTGCCCTGCCCTGCCCCCTGCCCTGCCCTGCCCTGCCCTGCCCTGCCCTGCCCTGCCCTGCCCTGCCCTGCCCTGCCCTGCCCTGCCCTGCCCTGCCCTGTCCTGCCCCTGCCCTGCCTGCCCTGCCCCCTGCCCTGCCCTGCCCCTGCCCTGCCTGCCCTGCCCCCTGCCCTGCCCTGCCCTGCCCCTGCCTGCCCTGCCCTGCCTGCCCTGCCCCCCTGCCCTGCCCTGCCCTGCCCTGCCCTGTCTTGTCTTGTCCTTCCCTGACAGTACTTCTTCCATTCCAGCTTCTACCTGGAGGCGCTGGAGGAGTCTGGGCGGTGTCATGATGGACGGAAGCTGACCAACAGAATCATCAACATCAGATGCTACCTGGCAATACCCATGATCTTCCTAGGTGGGTTCACTGACTTACGTAAAAATGGACGTTGATGCAGAACACTATGACGTACTGGGACACAGAGCACTTTGATGCATTGTGATGCAGGGCACTATGATGTACTGTGACGCAAAACATAATGATGCACTGTGACGCAAAACATAATGATGTACTGTGACGCAGAACACTATGATGTATTGTGACGCAGAACACTATGACGTACTGGGACACAGAGCACTTTGATGCATTGTGATGCAAAGCATAATGATGCACTGTGACGCAAAACATAATGATGTACTGTGACGCAGAACACTATGGTGTATTGTGACGCAGAACACTATGACGTACTGGGACACAGAGCGCTTTGATGCATTGTGATGCAGGGCACTATGATGTACTGTGACGCAAAACATAATGATGCACTGTGACGCAAAACATAATGATGTATTGTGACGCAGAACACAATGATGTACTGTGACGCAAAACACTATGATGTACTGCGATGCAGAAGACTATGATGTATTGTGACGCAGAACACAATGATATACTGTGACGCAGAACACTATGATGTACTGTGACGCAGAACACTTTGATGTATTAATACAGTGATGCAAAACACTCTGATGTACTGCGATGCAAAACACTTTGATGTATTGTGATGCAGAACACTATGATGTACTGTGATGCAGAACACTATGATGTATTGTGACGCAGAACACTTTGATGTACTGTGATGCAGAACACTATGATGTATTGTGACGCAGAACACTATGATGTATTGTGACGCAGAAGACTATGATGTACTGTGACGCAGAACACTTTGATGTATTAATACAGTGATGCAAAACACTTTGATGTACTGTGATGCAAAACACTTTGATGTATTGTGATGCAGAACACTATGATGTACTGTGACGCAAAACACTTTGATGTATTGTGATGCAAAACACTTTGATGTACTGTGATGCAGAACACTATGATGTATTGTGACGCAAAACACTATGATGTATTGTGATGCAGAACACTATGATGTATTGTGATGCAGAACACTATGATGTACTGTGACGCAGAACACTATGATGTATTGTGACGCAGAACACTATGATGTATTGTGACGCAGAACACTATGATGTATTGTGACGCAGAACACTATGATGTATTGTGATACAGAACACTATAATGTACTGTGACGCAGAACACTATGATGTATTGTGATACAGAACACTATAATGTACTGTGACGCAGAACACTATGATGTATTGTGATGCAGAACACTATGATGTATTGTGATACAGAACACAATGATGTACTGTGATGCAGAACACTATGATATATTGTAATGCAGAACACTATGACGAGGCTGAGACCCTCTTGAAGGAGACCCTGGCCGAGACGGAGAAGGTCGCCCCATGCCACCCCTCCATCCCAGTGATGATCAACAGTCTCGGACTTATCTACGAGAGAGGTAGGTCTTGGTGGAGAAAGCAGTAGGCCGGACCGATGGCTAATTGATAAGGGAGTTAAGGGGACGTAAGGGTTAAATTCGTGTTCAACATTATTCAGTGCATTTGTACAGGTACATACATGTGTGCACGCGTGCATGTGTGCATGTGAAGGTGTATTGTTCTCAGCAAGGCAGAAAGAGTATCCACCTCTGGATATATCATGTGACATTATTTGTTCATGTATAACACTTAGGAACAAATGTACCTGTCATAACCTCTTTTCGTTAGGAGTATCCAAATACATATGGGCATAGATTCACATGGCAACATGCTTGCTTGACCTCTTGCTTGACCTCTTGCTTAAAAAGCACAGTACTGACAAGCTGAGCAATACAATTTCTGGCCAGTTACTGAAGTAAACCACAAACTTACTGAAGCCATTCACTTCAAAGGCCAAAAGCCCACCATCATCTAAACTGCATGTAAACATTACAATACCACCCACCATAGCTACACACCTATTGTATATAGAGCTACACCCATCATCTACAGTACTGCATGTAAACATTACAATACTATCCACCATAGCTACACTCCTATTGTATATAGAGCTACACCCATCACCTACAGTACTGCATGTAAACATTACAATACCATCCACCATAGCTACACTCCTATTGTATATAGAGCTACACCCATCATCTACAGTACTGCATGTAAACATTACAATACTATCCAACATAGCTACACACCTATTGTATATAGAGCTACACCCATCATCTACAGTACTGCATGTAAACATTACAATACTATCCACCATAGCTACACACCTATTGTATATAGAGCTACACCCATCACCTACAGTACTGCATGTAAACATTACAATACTATCCAACATAGCTACACACCTATTGTATATAGAGCTACACCCATCATCTACAGTACTGCATGTAAACATTACAATACTATCCACCATAGCTACACACCTATTGTATATAGAGCTACACCCATCATCTACAGTACTGCATGTAAACATTACAATACCATCCACCATAGCTACACACCTATTGTATATAGAGCTACACCCATCATCTACAGTACTGCATGTAAACATTACAATACCATCCACCATAGCTACACACCTATTGCATATATAGAGCTACACCCATCATCTACAGTACTGCATGTAAACATTACAATACTATCCAACATAGCAATACACAATAGCTACACACCTATTGTATATAGAGCTACACCCATCATCTACAGTACTGCATGTAAACATTACAATACCATCCACCATAGCTACACTCCTATTGTATATAGAGCTACACCCATCACCTACAGTACTGCATGTAAACATTACAATACCATCCACCATAGCTACACACCTATTGTATATAGAGCTACACCCATCATCTACAGTACTGCATGTAAACATTATAATACCATCCACCATAGCTACACACCTATTGTATATAGAGCTACACCCATCATCTACAGTACTGCATGTAAACATTATTATACAACCCACCATAGCTACACTCCTATTGTATATAGAGCTACACCCATCTACAGTACTGCATGTAAACATTACAATACCATCCACCATAGCTACACTCCTATTGTATATAGAGCTACACCCATCATCTACAGTACTGCATGTAAACATTACAATACCATCCACCATAGCTACACACCTATTGTATATAGAGCTACACCCATCATCTACAGTACTGCACGTACACATTACAATACCATCCACCTATAGTATATAGAGCACTCCTATTGCACGTAAACATTACAATATATATAGCTACACTGTATCATCTACTACAGTACTGCATGTAAACATTACAATACCATCCACCATAGCTACACACCTATTGTATATAGAGCTACACCCATCATCTACAGTACTGCATGTAAACATTACAATACCATCCACCATAGCTACACACCTATTGTATATAGAGCTACACCCATCATCTACAGTACTGCATGTAAACATTACAATACCATCCACCATAGCTACACTCCTATTGTATATATAGCTACACCCATCATCTACAGTACTGCATGTAAACATGACAATACCATCCACCATAGCTACACACCTATTGTATATCGAGCTACACCCATCACCTACAATACAGCAATACAACTACAAAAACATGCTGACTCAAGTTCGATAACTCCGGTGAATCACCGCAGTGGAACAAATACCGTGTGTGCTATTTCTATTAATCAAACATGCTGACTCAAGTTCGATAACTCCGGTGAATCAACGAAGTTGAACAAATACCGTGTGTGCTATTTCTACTAATCAAACATGCTGACTCAAGTTCGATAACTCCGGTGAATCACCGAAGTTGAACTAATACCGTGTGTGCTATTTCTACTAATCAAACATGCTGAATCAAGTTCGATAACTCCGGAAATCACCGTAGTTGAACTAATACCGTGTGTGCTATTTATATTAATCAAACATGCTGACTCAAGTTCGATAACTCCGGTGAATCACCGTAGTTGAACTAATACCGTGTGTGCTTATTTCTACTAATCAAACATGCTGACTCAAGTTCGATAACTCCGGTATTTTTGAAGCAGCTGGAAAAGACGACGACGAGGCGCTGCGATACTACACTGCTTCTCTCTATGAGCGCCGGAAGTATGCTGACGTGGCTCCTGGCGACCTCGTTGTGGTGCTCAACAACGTTGCTATGCAGCACTCAAAACGAGGCAACCACGGTATGATTGTTTGGTATTGAAAACTTAGCTTGTTTGAGTGGCATTTTTAGAAGTTGTAGAGTCAGATAAGGACAACTTCTTTGTTTAGGTGATGCGACGTTTCGATACAGATTCTTGTATCGTTGTCAAACAGGTATGAAACAGGTAGAACACAGGGTGATATATGTACAGAATATGATTATTGGGAAGTACAGTGATTTGATGACAAGGGATTGCATCTAGAAGCCCGTGGGGTGCACAGAGCAGGAGAAATAGGACATGTTTACACAACCAGTTAGGGTGGATTGATGAGTTCAGAGGGGATTAAATAACCTTGGTCGCTATTGATTATGGGTCCGTTGGTTCTGAGGCTCTGTGGCCTGTCTGGTTTTGAGGCTCTGTGACTTGGCTGGTTCTGAGGCTCTGTGACTTGGCTGGTTCTGAGGCTCTGTGACTTGGCTGGTTCTGAGGCTCAGTGAATTGGCTGGTTCTGAGGCTCTGTGGCCTGGCTGGTTCTGAGGCTCTGTGACTTGGCTGGTTCTGAGGCTCTTTGACTTGATAAGGTCTGACTGGTTCTGAGGCTCTGTGGTGTGACTGGTTCTGAGGCTCTGTGACTTGGCTGGTTCTGAGGCTCTGTGGTGTGACTGGTTCTGAGGCTCCGTGACTTGGATGACTGTAACGGATATGCCTGATGCATAGATGATGTGAGGTCAAATGGCATGTAACGTCACGTTGAGATTATTGAACTCATATGGAAGTGTGTGTGTTTGTGTGTGTCAATGTGTGTTTTAACATTTCCCGTATGGGATCGAACCACCGACCTTCCGCTCACTGGACAAGCACTCTGTCTGCTACACCACGTTTGTCCAGAATTAGTGACAAGTACATTCAATCACCACTGTGGATATATTCCAGGTTGAGTCAGTCTTGTATCTGTCAACAGACTATGCCCTACAGCTGCTGTCGGAGGCGAGAGACATCAGGATGAAGTTAGACAGGATCAACTACCACACAGCCCTCACCTGCTGGAATATGGGACAGGTGTATGCCAGAAAGTAAGACATCGACTCTTATTGTCATATTCGCAACACCGGGGACACAGGGGGAATCTTTAAACTGGGTTCGAACACCAAACACCACACGATTGGGTTTGTAGGTTTGCAGCACCATAAACATGATTGTGGGTTTAACCCAAGTGACAAACACCCCAAACCCTAACAGCATCGGGCATTCCGCTCACCCCAAGTAGACCAAGTCATAATAAGGCTTAAATGCTGAAGTTACGCTAAACCCAAGTCACTCGCCACAAAAGCTTTCGGACACAATGTGTATTTTTTTGTAAAGTGTTATATTCAATATACTCCAGGGTTTGAAAATTGTTTTAGTCCATTAGTCATAGGAATCAAGAAAATTTAAGTATTTTTTTTTCCTGAACGATGACCATGAAAATTGAGATGACATTGACATTTCACAACAATTTCGGTAAATTGTGTTTATATTGTGTTTATTCTGTGTTTATTCTGTAAAACCATTATTGACTTATTGAATTATTTTATGTATCTTCACAGATGTGACATCGAAAATGCTTTGGTCGAAGTACGAGACGCTCTTGAGATCTTCAAGAAGTGCACTAAATCCCACTTTGTCATTGTGGAGGTTCTATTTCTGGCCGCTCATCTGGCTGCGGCTCTAGGCTGCTATGGGGATGCGGAGCAGTACCTCAAGGATGCCGTCGATTTTGAGGACAAATATCGGGAACATCTTCCGACTGGGGGCCACACACTGATGGTTCTTCAGCATCTCCTCATGATCTACTTGGGGTGGAAGAGGAAGAGCTCTCCAGTCTTGGACAGGGCTGTAGCTGAAGCCAACAGGCTGGCTGAGCTGAGCAGGAACACAGAGTCAAGAGACAAACACGTCCTCTACTTGCGCCAGACGTCCGCTCTGTACAGAGTCAGGGCATCACTCGACCAACAGACTGTCTCCAAAGAGATGTTGGACAACGTATTGACTGAGATGAGCGGATTTTGTTTCGTATGTGAAGATCTGAACTCACGAAACATGGACATGGTCAGTGTGTTTCGTAGTATGTCAACAAATGTAACTGGGGCTTTAGCAAGTTTTGACACTCTACTGAGATCAGAGGCTATGACGACTGCTGTGGGGTTGCTTAAAAAGGCCTCAGGGAGATCTGAGAGTCCTCCAGTTTCTCCAACTGCATCCGACCCTCCATCATTTTCGTTTGATAGACTACACAGAAAAGAGAGCAGTATTGCCTCACCGTTCTATTACGAACAAGGAAACTGTCAGCCGTTAAAGGAAGACGGACACAGCTGTAGAGATCTCAAGTCGTATATGCAGCCAACACAACCCCCCAGTTCAGCTACTGATATACGCAACGCTCACACATACCAGGCCCCAGTTGAAACCAATCCTTGCTGCTTTACGAGACCAGAGCACGGCTCACCATGCTCCATCAATCACGAGTTCCCCATCGGGCAGATGCACCAAGACAGTTTGGTAGGATATGTTCATGAACGAGGTGATTCCCGCCAAGATAAATCCTCGGGTTCATTGGGTGTGGATATAACTATTCTAAACAGAGACACCTGCTGTGATGACAGCATGGAAAGAATGAACCAAGCGGCTGCAAGTAAACGTGAAAAAATCAAAGAAGCTGACGACGCTTTTCGAGGTGCATTACCGAAAACCAACGACCGGTGCTCATTGGATCCCAGTCTTAGATATCCCCCGAGCTTCAAATTTCCAACATTAGATCAACGGAATATAAAAGATTCCAACCCTGGCTCTGAGTTACCTCCCTGGACAATCAGCCAACACAACACAGTCGACGAGACACTGAAGACGATTCGCCCTCAAAGCCACTTCCATGACAGATATAAAGAGGCAATCACCCTTCTACAAAACTCAGTTATTGCAGAGAAGGAGAATGTCCCTCGAGAAGCTACACCAATGGTCACACCGGGCAACGTCTTCAACATGGGTGCTGGAAACTTGTATGGTGGGACTGCATGTCAAAGGGTACAGAAACGTACCGCATCTTCCCCATGCTCCAGCTCTTCGGGTGTTTGCAGCAGGAGTGCCTCAGAACATGACGAGAGAAGGCACGAGAACACGGCCCATTGTACACAGCCGGGCTGTTTGTGTTCCCTGAAACACTTTAAGTAGAGATCAGCATGAGGCATTTATTAAACGTTCTGAATCAGACAAATGTGAATGACGATTCCTTGGAAGTGTTATTTCAGTATCTGATATATTGAACCATAATTTGCACGAAGGCCTGATCTGTTACGTATGCTGGAAGTATAACTTGAATTGTTGATATCTTGGACTATATACTTCACACAAAGGTGTGTGCTGGGAGTGAAACTTCAATTACTGATATCTTGGACTACGTACTTCATACAAAGGTGTGTGCCGGAAGTGAAACTTCAATTGCTGATATCTTGGACTATATACTTCACACAAAGGTGTGTGCCGGAAGTGAAACTTCAATTGCTGATATTTTGGATTATATACTTCACACAAAGGTGTGTGCCGGAAGTGAAACTTCAATTGCTGATATTTTGGATTAACTTCAAAGGTGTGTGCTCGGAGTGAAACTTCAATTACTGATATCTTGGACTACGTACTTCATAAAAGGTGTGTGCCGGAAGTGAAACTTCAATTGCTGATATCTTGGACAATATACTTCACACAAAGGTGTGTGCCGGAAGTGAAACTTCAATTGCTGATATTTTGGATTATATACTTCACACAAAGGTGTGTGCTTGGAGTGAAACTTCAATTACTGATATCTTGGACTACGTACTTCATAAAAGGTGTGTGCCGGAAGTGAAACTTCAATTGCTGATATCTTGGACAATATACTTCACATAAAGGTGTGTGCCGGAAGTGAAACTTCAATTGCTGATATTTTGGATTATATACTTCATACTAAACTGTGTGTTGGGAATGTAACTGAAGTAAAACTTCAGTTGCTGATGTCTTGGATAATAATTTACTCAAAAGTGTGTGTTTGGGGTGAAACTTCAAATACTGATATCTTGGACTATACTTCACACAAAGATGTGTGCTGAAAGTGAAACTTTAATTCCCGATATCTTGTACTTTATATTTCACACAAAGGTGTGTGCTTGGAGTAAAACTTCAATTGCTCATATCTTGGACTATAATTATTACGAAGATATGTGCTTCAAGTGAAACTTAATCGCTGATATCTTGGACATTACTCCACACAAAGGTGTGTGCTTGGGTGAAACTTCAATATCTTGGACTATACTTCATACAAGGGTGTGTGCTAGAAGTAAAACATCAAATGCTGATATCGTGGACTATACTTCACATATAATACACAGGTACAGTGTGTGTCAGTGTGTCGGGTATAGTGTGTGTCAGTGTCAGGTACAGTGTGTGTCAGTGTATCAGGTACAGTGTGTGTCAGTGTCAGGTACAGTGTGTGTCAGTGTGTCAGGTACAGTGTGTGTCGGTGTCAGGTACAGTGTGTGTGTCAGGTGTGTGTGTCAGTGTCAGGTACAGGTGTGTGTGTACAGTGTGTCAGGGTGTGTCAGTGTGTCAGGTACAGTGTGTGTGTGTCAGTGTCAGGTACAGTGTGTGTCAGTGTGTCAGGTACAGTGTGTGTCAGTGTCAGGTACAGTGTGTGTGTGTGTGTGTGTGTGTGTGTGTGTGTGTGTGTGTGTGTGTGACAGTGTGTGTGTGTGTGTGTGTGTGTGTGTGTGTGTGAGGTACAGTAATCACAGCTAATTGCACCTTGTTCCGGTCCCGCGGGGAGAAGCTGGACATGCGCGACTACGTGCAAGACCGAAAATCTTAACAAAGTTATGTTGACTACAGGGCTTGTTTTCCTTGTGTCTATGATCGGTGGGACATGAAGCTGACAAGGCGGCCACGTATGACAAATAGTTACACATGGTTAAACTCTGAGATTGTCCATTGTACGAAATGAGGATGACTTGAACACAGAGTAGACAGGGACGTGTCCTGTATGATGTAAAACCTACGCACCAGTGTTTTCTATATATTTCACTAAATCCAACTGCCAACTTCGTATATGTTGCCTAAAGCTAAACCTTTCAAGAATCTTTTTTATACAACATGGTCGTTTACTTATGGTACTGGAAAGGGTACCAAAACCAAAAATGTTCATTGAACAATCAATCAATCAATCAATTATTCAATCATTGATTCATCAATCGATTCCATCGCTTCAAACAAAGATGTGAGGACATCCCCTTAAAGGTCACGTCAAACCCTCTTCCATACGACCAGACAGAGCGTCGATTACCAGATCACGAAAGTGCAGACATTCGGAATGTTTGTTGTCTAATCATGCAACCTCCTTAAGGTGACGAAGTATTCCGAACGACCGAAATCGTCACAATCACAGTCTGTCTCTTGGTTCGATGAGAAAAACATTTGAACAACTTTCCATGTTTTTTTTTTACATCTATTAGACATTCCAGAATGTTCTTTTCATTAGTATTTCTATCTTTAAATCGAGAACTTTGGTCTCCAGCCTGAAAATATTACCATAAAGCCTGAGAAAGCTGCTTTCTGACCGTTTCATGTCGACTTCCTTCTAGACATTTCATTGGACCTCGAGAGTTCAGGACCTGATGGGATCTGAAACTGGGTGTCCTCAGATCTATGTTTTGAGGTAGCGAGAACAAAGGACTTGCTCTATTATGAGACTGGGAATGTATCTAATACATAAACCCGTTTATATATGTCGTTTCGGTTTTTGTATCTTTGACTGCAGTGTGTGCGTGCGTGCGAAAGTGAGTGCGTGTGTGCGTATGTGCGTGTGCGCCTCAGAGAGTTACCACTTCAGTGGAACCCACGGGCACGGGAATGGTGCTAACAAACCTGGAAAACCGGGATTCGAACTCTAGATGTCGAAAAAGTGTTACGTGGTTCAACCACTGGATTGTCTCGTCCAGACTCGATTATTTACGGTTGGGGGCAGAGACCCCACCCCTGAGTGCAGCCTGCCGAGTTATCTCACCACACACTATGCATATGGTCGCATGTATCATCGTCCTTTGGAAATAGAATCACGGAATATCAGGACTATCAGCTGCATTGGTGCCAATGCACGTGAAAAGACGGCTTTTGAAGAAGACCCAATTTGTTACTGATAAACACCATCCATCCTGAGCATGAACATTAGGACATTCGAAAACAATAGACCACAATTTAAATAGCCTTGCATTCTACCTTACTTACAGAATCAGATGCTTGATGGGCATTTAGAAGTTGGATGGTGACATAACAACAAGAGCATGTAAAAACCTCTCTGAACAAGCTAGTAAAGCACTTTGGCCTTTTAAATCATTGATAAGGCGGTATAATATGTGTTTTTCTGATGCTTTCTATATTTTTGATAAGAAGATTGTTCCAATTCTTACATATGGCGCTGAGATCTGGGATTTCAAAAAAGATAGAATATTGAAATTAGTCATCGTAAGTTTTGCAAATTCGTGTCACAAAGTGGTTACAGATCTCCTAATGCTGTTGCTTATGGGGAAAGCGGACGACCCCATATGTCAAATGTCTACTTTGTAAAATGCATCAAATATTGGATAAGATTATTACACATGCACCCAGATAGATACCCTTATCAATGTTATCGATTTTTATTGTCAATTGAATCTAGAAGACGGCCAACATGGGCAAGTTATGGAAAGCATTTATTGTTTAGACATGGGTTTGGAATTGTATGGAACACACAATCAGTTGGTGATCCAAAGATATTTTTATGTAAATTTATTGAAAGAATTAACGATTGTTTCCACCAAGAGTGGCATTCATCTCTTCTTGACCGCAAATCACTGTGCTTTTACTACTCTCATAAATCTGTGCTGAATTGTGAAAAATATGCCCTGTCTAATATGAGTAATGATAATAAACGTATTTTTACAATGTTTAGATCAGGATGTAATATACTCGGTATTCAGTTAATCAGGAAAGGTCTTGCTACTGTCAATGATAATGTTGCAGTATGTAAGCATCGTAAAGCTGTTGAAGATGAAGCTCATGTTATATACAACTGTACGTTTTATGAGAGTCTTCGGCAACGTCTTATTCCAAAGACATCAAGTGGACACTACGTCTCCATTCAAAATCTCTGTACATTCGTAGAAATTAATATCATTAACAACTCTGTGAAATATTTGAAATACGTTTATTTTGTGAAACATTGTTAGCAAACTCGTTTCTTCGATCCATACTATGTACACATCTGGTAACTCAATACTATATTATGTCTCTCTCTCTCTCTTCTCTCTCTAGGTCTCGTCTCTCTCTCCTCTCTATCTCTCTCTCTCTCTCTCTCTCTCTCTCTCTCTCTCTCTCTCTCTCTCTCTCTCTCTCTCTCTCTCTCATAATCTCATAACGTATGGTATGGATTTACAACTTTAATATTTACAACACGGCGTTTGTGGGCTACTTCTTGTCCCTTAATCAGGTGAATGGCAGAATATGATGAAGCAATATATATATAGTATGTACAGGGAGCCACTAAGATAGTATTACATATGGAGATGTACAGAGATCAAGGAGATTAAGTGATGTGTTATGATTGAGATGTACAGAGCTCAAAGAGATTAAGTGGTATGTTTATGCAATGGATGTACAGAGTGTTTATACAACGAAAAGGTGAGGTGAGGTGAAATTGGGTTTAACGTCGTGCTTGAGAATATTTCGCTCATATGACGACGTGCATGCATGTGTATGTGTATGTGCGGCGGCTTGTACTAGCCCAGACTGAAGCTGGTTTTGTAGTGCTAGCTCACTGAGATACCATGCCGCAGTGAAGCATGAATACCCCACTCAGACACATTATGCTGACTCCGAGCCGACCAGTCCTTGTTGTACCCATTAATGCCGAGCGCCAGGCAGGGACCAACAAGTACCATATTTTAACGTCTTTTAGTATGACGCAATCGGGGATCGAACCCGCGGCCTTCCGCTCTCCGGCTTACAACGAAAAGGATAGGATATACTGGGGGGTTCCCGTTTTGCCGGACGATTTTGTTCTAGATAAAAATTCACTGATGCGCGATAATCCTTAAACAATAGGGGATTAACTTATAGTCTTTTTCGGCTATATGTACACACTTTAACTTCATCTCGATGTTTTCATTTCAGCAATTCAACATTTTTTGTGTATTTTCTCTTCATGATAAAATTCATAAATACACATTTCATACATTTTTTCATGAGAAAATGGTAACTGAAGACATATAAATAAATATGCATACATATTTTTCCATAAATATACATAAAGATTTTTGTTCATAAATATACATAAATAATAATTATTCCAACACAGGGACACCAACTAGGTCTGAGACAAGATCCCCTAGAATTTGGAATGAACTGAACTTAATCCGTTATCATCACATCAGCTGTCCGGCAAAATGGGGTATGACCGATATACTATGCATCATCGGATTGATTGGAAGCCACTTATGAAAACAATGATGGGAAAACCAGATCAAAGCATGTGTGATTAGGGGGAACATGGGAAAACATTACATTGACAGCTTATGTCTCTATGCACCAACCAAGGGACATCAGAGACATTCTACGCCCAGCTTTCTACATACGGACATGATGAAAACTGTTCCAAATACTCACGAGACCTTCAACTCAGGGCCACCAGAGACATTCTACAGCCAGCTTTCCACATACGGACATGGTGAGAACTGTTCCAAATACTCACGAGACCTTCAACTCAGGGCCACCAGAGACATTCTACAGCCAGCTTTCCACATACGGACATGGTGAGAACTGTTCCAAATACTCACGGGACCTTCAACTCAGGGCCACCAGAGACATTCTACAGCCAGCTTTCCACATACGGACATGGTGAGAACTGTTCCAAATACTCACGGGACCTTCAACTCAGGGCCACCAGAAACATTCTACAGCCAGCTTTCCACATACGGACATGGTGAGAACTGTTCCAAATACTCACGGGACCTTCAACTCAGGGCCACCAGAGACATTCTACAGCCAGCTTTCCACATACGGACATGATGAGAACTGTTCCAAATACTCACGGGACCTTCAACTCAGGGCCACCAGAAACATTCTACAGCCAGCTTTCCACATACGGACATGGTGAGAACTATGGAATCCTGGAAGGGACATTGTCGCGCTGTCGCATTGTCGCGTTGTCGCCCTCTCAAATACAAGCAAAATTAACAAAAACGCGACACGCGACATCGCGATGTCGCGATGTCGCGTTTTGGTTAATTTTGCCTCACTTTACTTGTTTGTGAGAGGGCGACAATGTCCCTTCTCGGATTCCATAGAGAATTAATCCAAAGGACGGAAACAAAAAACCCGCATCTGCCAGCCGTACATACAATCACAGCACGTTGCATAATCTAACACACGCGATAACTCCAGAACATGACTGGTTACCTGTTGAAATTCTTTACCAATGCCCTTCAAATCTTTGAGGGGTGTTTTTATCCGACAAGAACGACCTTCAATTGTGACGTTCCATATCACATTAAACATATATCATGACCAAATCTACCTTGACGAAAGGTAATAGACCGCCACATGCAAGGTGTGAAACAATCTACAATCAAATGTGAATCTACAAAAGTCGAGGTCCGTGTTCTGAGCTGGCATCGCCCACTTACTCTGTTTTTCGAGAGCTGCTGGACAAGGGTTCACCTACGATGTGGTCAGTGTTTATGGCAGGGTCTTTATATCTGACCCTCGTGTCGGGGTTTGAGTTCCCCCGAAACTTCAAACTTCAAATGAAATCACCTTCAGCGTTCACTGCATCGGAGAAACAAGACAATATTCAGAAGAAACAAGGTATGTAACTCCGCTGTTAGGTCATTCGGCGCATATACACTTACATACATAATAATTGACCGCGCGAAGTAGTCTAAACCGTCAATTCCGCGAAAATTGCACCACGCGAAAATAAGTACGTTTACAGTATATATATATAGATGATACTGTACAATATGGCTTCGGTTCTCATGTGTGACACTGTACAATATGCCTTGGGTTCTCATGTGTGACACTGTACAATATGGCGAGGGTCCTCATGTGTGACACTGTGCCATATATATGGCGTGGACCTCATGTGTGACACTGTACAATATGGCGTGGGTTCTCATGTGGAACACTGTGCCATATGGCGTGGACCTCATGTGTGACAATGTACCATATGCCTTGGGTTCTCATGTGTGACACTGTACAATATGCCTTGGGTTATCATGTGTGACACTGTGCCATATGGCGTGGACCTCATGTGTGACAATGTACCATATGGCGTGGGTTCTCATGTGGGACACTGTACCATATGGCGTGGGTTCTCATGTGTGACACTGTGCCATATGGCGTGGACCTCATGTGTGACAATGTATAATATCGCGTGGGTTCTCATGTGGGACACTGTACAATATGTCTTGGGTTCTCATGTGTGACACTGTACCCTATGGCGAGGGTCCTCATGTGGGACACTGTACCATATGGCGTGGGATCTCATGTGTGACACTGTGCCATATGGCGTGGACCTCATGTGTGACACTGTACAATATGGCGTGGGTTCTCATGTGTGACACTGTACAATATGGCGTGGGTTCTCATGTGTGACACTGTACCATATGGCGTGGGTTCTCATGTGTGACACTGTACAATATGGCGTGGGATCTCATGTGTGACACTGTACAATATGGCGTGGGTTCTCATGTGGGACACTGTACAATATGGCGTGGGTTCTCATGTGTGACACTGTACCATATGGCGTGGGTTCTCATGTGTGACACTGTACCATATGGCGTGGGTCCTCATGTGTGACACTGTACAATATGGCGTGGGTTCTCATGTGGGACACTGTACAATATGGCGTGGGTTCTCATGTGTGACACTGTACCTTATATGGCGGGGTTCTCATGTGTGACACTGTACCATATGGCGTGGGTTCTCATGTGCGACACTGTACCTTATATGGCGTGGGTTCTCATGTGTGACACTGTACCATATGGCGTGGGTTCTCATGTGCGACACTGTACAATATGGCGTGGGTTCTCATGTGTGACACTGTACCATATGGCGTGGGTCTCATCATGTTTGACACTGTACAATATGGCGTGGGTTCTCATGTGGACACTGTACAATATGGCGTGGGTTCTCATGTGTGACACTGTACCTTATATGGCGGGGGTTCTCATGTGCGACACTGTACCATATGGCGTGGGTTCTCATGTGTGACACTGTACCTTATATGGCGTGGGCCTCATGTTTGACACTGTACCATATGGCGTGGGTTCTCATGTTTGACACTGTACAATATGGCGTGGGTTCTCATGTGTGACACTGTACCATATGGCGTGGGTTCTCATGTTTGACACTGTACAATATGGCGTGGGTTCTCATGTGTGACACTGTACCAATATGGCGTGGGTTCTCATGTTTGACACTGTACCTTATATGGCGTGGGTTCTCATGTTTGACACTGTACAATATGGCGTGGGTTCTCATGTGTGACACTGTACAATATGGCGTGGGTTCTCATGTGTGACACTGTACAATATGGCGGTTCTCATGTGGGTTCTCATGTGTGACACTGTACCATATGGCGTGGGTTCTCATGTGTGACAATGTACCAATATGGCGTGGGTTCTCATGTGTGACACTGTACAATATGGCGTGGGACCTCATGTGTGACACTGTCATGGCGTGGGTTCTCATGTGGGACACTGTACAATATGGCGTGGGTTCTCGTGTGACACTGTACAATATGGCGTGGGTTCTCATGTGTGACACTGTACCATATGGCGTGGGTTCTCATGTGGTGACACTGTACCATATGGCGTGGGTTCTCATGTGTGACACTGTACCATATGGCGTGGGTTCTCATGTGTGACACTGTACCTTATATGGCGTGGGTTCTCATGTGTGACACTGTACAATATGGCGTGGGTTCTCATGTGTGACACTGTACCATATGGCGTGGGTTCTCATGTGTGACACTGTACCCAATATGGCGTGGGTTCTCATGTGTGACACTGTACCATATGGCGTGGGTTCTCATGTGTGACACTGTACAATATGGCGTGGGTTCTCATGTGTGACACTGTACCATATGGCGTGGGTTCTCATGTGTGACACTGTACCTTATATGGCGTGGGTTCTCATGTGTGACACTGTACAATATGGCGTGGGTTCTCATGTGTGACACTGTACCATATGGCGTGGGTTCTCATGTGTGACACTGTACAATATGGCGTGGGTTCTCATGTGTGACACTGTACAATATGGCGTGGGTACCTCATGTGTGACACTGTACAATATGGCGTGGGTTCTCATGTGTGACACTGTACCATATGGCGTGGGTTCTCATGTGTGACACTGTACAATATGGCGTGGGTTCTCATGTTTGACACTGTACCATATGGCGTGGGTTCTCATGTTTGACACTGTACCATATGGCGTGGGTTCTCATGTGTGACACTGTACCATATGGCGTGGGTTCTCATGTGTGACACTGTACAATATGGCGTGGGTTCTCATGTGTGACACTGTACCAATATGGCGTGGGTTCTCATGTGTGACACTGTACAATATGGCGTGGGTTCTCATGCGTGTGACACTGTGCCAATATGGCGCGGGTTCTCATGTGTGACACTGTACCATATGGCGTGGGTTCTCATGTGTGACACTGTACAATATGGCGTGGGTTCTCATGTGTGACACTGTACCATATGGCGACCTCATGGTTCCTCGCGTGTGACACTGTACCATATGGCGTGGGTTCTCATGTGTGACACTGTACAATATGGCGTGGGTTCTCATGTGTGACACTGTACAATATGGCGTGGGTTCTCATGTGTGACACTGTACAATATGACGTGGGTTCTCATGTGTGACACTGTACAATATGGCGTGGGTTCTCATGTGTGACACTGTACAATATGGCGTGGGTTCTCATGTGTGACACTGTACCATATGGCGTGGGTTCTCATGTGTGACACTGTACCATATGGCGAGGGTTCTCATGTGCGACACTGCACCATATGGCCTGGACCTCATGTGTGACACTGTATCCTGTGGCGTTGGTCCTCATGTGTGACACTGTACCATAAAGCGAGGGTCCTCATGTGTGACACTGTATCCTGTGGCGTGGTTTCTCATATGAGACGTTGTACTATTGACCTTTTTCTCACTGACTCACCCTAACATTGAGCCATTCAGCCTCAACCTTTTCTAAATGTTAATGTCGTCAATACCTGTCTGAGAATGTCACGGGCCCAAATGGGTTTTAACACATATGGAGATATTAAGAAGAGTTGTTGTGTTTTCCATTGTCGGCCGTCATCAGAGGAGATGGAGCGGGTAGTGTCCGCCTTCTCAGACCAACTTACAACCATCCTGAGTAACGTCAGCGCTCTGAAGGATCGGGAGAGGGAGAAAGGTAGGTAATAACGTAGAAATACAGACCTGCCTCAATACTCAGAACTGAAACAAACATAGTGTGCGTGTTAGAGATTGCATGCTGCGTAGCATCTACCGGGCTTAAATACCCAACGTCGGAGCTTGATGTAGCTGTGTCTCATATTGTATATAGCACCGTACCTGTGATAATTATATATACGTGTTCCAGAGAGTTCTTTGCGCAATGACATCAACGAATTTGCCAGCAAACTGGATAATGTCACATCGATGTGCCATTCTGCGGTCCGAAAGCTAAGTGAAGGTAAGTTGTGTCCCTTGGACATCAAGGATCCTATTTACCTCAGTTCAAATATCAGATTCGCCAGATCATACCAGGCCCTTGTTTGTGGCTTGCACCACATGAAACATCAGAGACCTACATCTACTCATTAAGGCGTCCAGTTGTCGTACGTTAAGGACAGGCCATTCATAACATCTCACATGGCCATTCATGACATCTCACATGGCCATGCACGACATCTCACACGGCCATTCATGACAACTCACATGGCCATTCACTACATCTCACATGGCCATTTACGATATCTCACATGGTCGTTCACAACATCTCTCATTGCCATTCACTACATCTCAGATAGCCATTTACGACATCTCTCATGGCCGTCCACAACATCTCTCATAGCCATTCACTACATAACAGATAGCCATTCACGACATCTCACATGACCATTCATGACATCTCACATGGCCATTCATGACATCTCACATGGCCATTCACGACATCTCACATGGCCATTCATGACATCTCACATGGCCATTCACGACATCTCACATGGCCATTCATGACATCTCACATGACCATTCCCGACATCTCAGATAGCCATTCACTACTACTCATATGGTCATTCACGACATCTCACATGGCCATTCACGACATCTCACATGGCCATTCACTACATCTCACATGACCATTCACGACATCTCACATGGCCATTCACGACATCTCACATGGCCATTCACGACATCTCACATGGCCATTCATGACATCTCACGTGACCATGGCCATTCACATGACCATTCACTATATCCTCACATGGCCATTCACTACATCTCACATGGCCATTCACTACATCTCATATGACCATTCACTACATCTCACATGGCCATTCACTACATCTCACACGGCCATTCACTACATCTCACATGACCATTCACTACATCCCACATGGCCATTCACGACATCTCACATGACCATTCACTACATCTCACATGGCCATTCACGACATCTCACATGGCCATCAACGACATCTCACATGGCCATCCACGACATCTCACATGGCCATTCACAACATCTCACATGGCCATTCACTACATCTCACATGGCCATCCATGACATCTCACATGGCCATCAACGACATCTCACATGGCCATCAACGACATCTCACATGGCCATCCACGACATCTCACATGGCCATCCACGACATCTCACATGGCCATCCACGACATCTCACATGGCCATCCACGACATCTCACATGGCCATTCACTACATCTCACATGGCCATCCACATGGCCATCCACGACATCTCACATGGCCATCCACGACATCTCACATGGCCATTCACTACATCTCACATGGCCATTCACTACATCTCACATGACCATTCCCAACATCTCACATGACCATTCACTACATCTCACATGACCATTCACTACATCTCACATGGCCATTCACGACATCTCACATGGCCATTCACGACATCTCACATGACCATTCACGACATCTCACATGACCATTCACGACATCTCACATGGCCATTCACGACATCTCACATGGCCATTCACGACATCTCACATGACCATTCACTACATCTCACATGGCCATTCACTACATCTCACATGGCCATTCACTACATCTCACATGACCATTCACTACATCCCACATGGCCATTCACGACATCTCACATGACCATTCACTACATCTCACATGGCCATTCACGACATCTCACATGGCCATCCACGACATCTCACATGGCCATCCACGACATCTCACATGGCCATTCACAACATCTCACATGGCCATTCACTACATCTCACATGGCCATCCATGACATCTCACATGGCCATCAACGACATCTCACATGGCCATCAACGACATCTCACATGGCCATCCACGACATCTCACATGGGCGACATCACATGGCCATCAACGACATCTCACATGGCCATCCACGACATCTCACATGGCCATCCACGACATCTCACATGGCCATCCACGACATCTCACATGGCCATCCACGACATCTCACATGGCCATTCATACATGACATGGCCACATGGCCATCCACGACATCTCACATGGCCATCCACGACATCTCACATGGCCATTCACTACATCTCACATGGCCATTCACTACATCTCACATGACCATTCCCAACATCTCACATGACCATTCACTACATCTCACATGACCATTCACTACATCCCACATGGCCATTCACGACATCTCACATGGCCATCCACGACATCTCACATGGCCATTCACTACATCTCACATGGCCATCCACATGGCCATCCACGACATCTCACATGGCCATCCACTACATGTACATGTCGTCATTCATTACATCTACATATGGCCATATATGACATCCCTTTTTAAGGGACAGGTCAATGCAGTAATACTGTTTGTCAATGTGGTTCTATTCATGTCAGAAATAAAGCAGAAGGATGAAGAAACCAAGAAGAGCCTAGAACTTGTCAAACAACAAACAAACAATCTGACGAGAATGGTTGACAGACGGGAAGAAGGTGAGAACATCATCCCCAGGAAACATTCTCAGCCTGAACACACACAAAAAAAACATCCAGTTGGTCCAGATAGTGACATGGGTTAGAGAGGCAGGTAGATTTAGAAAAAAAGATGGTAGATTTAGAAAAAGCAGGAATATATAAAAAAAAACACAAGTAGATGTAGAAGAAGCAGGCAGGTTTACAGGAAGCAGGCAGATTTAGGAGAAGCAGGTAGAATGACAACAGTGAGCCTAGGTAACAGGAGGTAGACTGAAAATGTCAGCATTGGGCCTAGGGAACAGCAGGTAGACTGGGAGTGTCTGCAGTCAGCCTAGGGAGCAGCAGGTAGACTGAGAATGTCAGCAGTGAGCCTAGGGGGCAGCAGGTAGAATGGGAATGTCAGCAGTGAGCCTAGGGAACAGCAGGTAGACTGGGAATGTCAGCAGTGATCCTAGGGAACAGCAGGTAGACTGAGAATGTCAGCAGTCAGCCTAGGGAACAGCAGGTAGACTGGGAATGTCAGCAGTGAGCCTAGGGAGCAGCAGGTAGAATGGGAATGTCAGCAGTCAGCCTAGGGAACAGCAGGTAGACTGGGAATGTCAGCAGTGAGCCTAGGGAACAGCAGGTAGACTGGGAATGTCAGCAGTCAGCCTAGGGAACAGCAGGTAGACTGGGAATGTCAGCAGTCAGCCTATGGAACAGCAGGTAGACTGGGAATGTCAGCAGTCAGCCTAGGGAACAGCAGGTAGACTGGGAATGTCAGCAGTGAGCCTAGGGAGCAGCAGGTAGAATGGGAATGTCAGCAGTGAGCCTAGGGAACAGCAGGTAGACTGGGAATGTCAGCAGTGAGCCTAGGGAACAGCAGGTAGACTGGGAATGTCAGCAGTGAGCCTAGGGAACAGCAGGTAGACTGGGAATGTCAGCAGTGAGCCTAGGGAACAGCAGGTAGACTGGGAATGTCAGCAGTCAGCCTAGGGAACAGCAGGTAGAATGGGAATGTCAGCAGTGAGCCTAGGGAACAGCAGGTAGACTCGGAATGTCAGCAGTCAGCCTAAGGAACAGGAGGTAGACTGAGAATATCAGCAGTCAGCCTAGGGAGCAGCAGGTAGACTGGGAATGTCAGCAGTCAGCCTAGGGAACAGCAGGTAGACTGAGAATGTCAGCAGTGAGCCTAGGGAACAGCAGGTAGACTGGGAATGTCAGCAGTCAGCCTAGGGAACAGCAGGTAGACTGGGAATGTCAGCAGTCAGCCTAGGGAACAGCAGGTAGACTGGGAATGTCAGCAGTCAGCCTAGGGAACAGCAGGTAGACTGGGAATGTGCAGTTTACCCAGTGTGAATCCTCTTAAATAATCTTGACCTTGAGTCCACTGGCACATTCAAACTACACCTCAGGATACTGTGGTACATCGATTTGTGAAAGAAACCACAGAACATTTGTCCATATCTGAATTTTGATTTTATGATATCGCTTATTCGAATCTTATGCATGAATGCATTATTATGTCATCTAACAAATCTTAAGCCGCAGCTCCCAAGACATGTGACCATGGAAACTATACGCTGCTCCCGTCTGTGAACATGTGCATCCGACTGAGTGGACCGACAGACACACTCAGCTGGTACGTCAGTCAGGGCAGGTGCGAGTCTGAGGCTGGTCGCCTTGTTAACCTCGACAGCGTCGACAAACAGGACGCTGTGGTGAAATACTTGCACAGCATTGGGGACAAAGCATATGATGCCGGTAAACTCACATTTATATTCTTTAGCAATTTTTGCAGATATAATACAATATGTCAATGAAAGGGATAAATCAGTCTTGGTAACCCACGGATTCCATTTGGCTCAAAGGTAAAAGTGAAATCAGTGTTTGTGAAAATGTCCTGTATTCGCGAAGATTGTGACTGGAAATAGGTACGGCTGGAGGAAGATTGAGGAGTAGTTTGTTCCAGAAAGAAATGATTGAAAAAGTAGTCTTGGTATATTAAGCTCAAAAGGACTTCCTGGAATACGCATCTACTTGATACAGGTATTTCTGCTGTACATTCAAGGTAAAGCCTGAGGGAGTATTGATTTGACGCCATCATGGCTAAACAGTACATGCCAGTACTGCACAGAAAGTATGGTTAGTTAGTGGAACTTGTGTTATAGTGCTGAATGTTGAGTACTGGCATGTCCATGATCATGGCTGTCTAATCTTGGACAGACATTCTGATCGCCTTTACACAGGAGACCTTCACCACCAGATCTTAATGTAGGACCTGTTAGTTCTGACAATCTTTACACACTAGACCTTCACAACCAGATCTAAATGTAGGACCTGTTGGTTTTGACAACTTTTACACAGGAGGCCTTGACCACCAGATCTAAATGTAGGACCTGTTAGTTCTGACAATCTGTACACAGGAGGCCTTGACCACCAGATCTAAATATAGGACCTGTTGGTTTTGACAATCTTTACACAGGAGACCTTGACAACCAGATCTAAATGTAGGACCTGTTGGTTCTGACAATCTTTACACACTAGACCTTGACCACCAGATCTAAATATAGGACCTGTTAGTTCTGACAATCTTTACACTGGAGACCTTGACAACCAGATCTAAATGTAGGACGTGTAGGCACTGACAAGGAGATGATGATGATGATGATGATGATGATGATGATGATGATGATGATGATGATGATGATGATGATGATGATGATGATGTTGTTGTTTTAATGATAGGTAAGTCCTATCGCATCTGGGTTGGAATGAAGAAGATTCAGGGTCGAAGCTTCGAGTGGACCGAACATGGTAACACCAATGGGCTAAAGTGGGACGATGGGGAACCTGACGCCCTGGACTATCAGGACGTGGTGCAGCTCACGCCGGGCGGTCTCTCGGATATCCCGAGCTACAGCAAACGTAGATACATATGTGAGATTGTCCTTGCCTGAACTGTTCACATCATGCATAAAATAATCATATTTTTCTGTGCTAAAATTTAGCAACTTCTCTGGTGTCTCATGACACGTATTTGTACTTGATCTCTTTAACGATATGTGTCTAAACATAGAAAATCCAATCGGTTTCAAGGTTTCAAACAACATTATTGTCTCTCTGACACAAACCAGGCTGTGGTGGCTGCAAGGTTAGATAAGGGCAGACCAATTTTATTTCTTGTTTTACGGATCCGCCGGTTATATCTTTTCAAGAATAAGAAAAAAATTTAAAAAATTCCCCGCTCAAAAGTAAAATCCTATTGTTTTTATTGGCCAAAAATGTAAACTTACAAACATATATTTTTATTGTTTTTTGCCCCATATACACTTCATAAATTGCCAAAAGTAAAACACTTGTAGTATTTAGAAGGAATATTACTTGATGATTATTATTTTTATTTTTTTCCTCTCCTGCCTTTAGTTTTTTAGGACAAAAATCCGTAAAACGAGAAATAAAATTGGTCTGGCCTAAAGTCAAATAGAGAGAGTCGAAATTAAAATAAGAATAAACACATTTGGTGTTGTCACTAATTATTTTTTCCAGTGAAATGACAGTGTTTTCCACTAAAGGAACTCTGCTACATAAAACACTTTTCCACAAATATAGAATTCCACATGAGACTGAACAAGAAAACCTTTTAAAGGCAACGTAAGAGGCATCTGAGTAAAATTAAGTAATTTAGTAAGAAGGACATGAGATGATTTGGGGGGTAAAGCTGTTTCCAAGAGCATCATAATGACCATATCTCCGTCTATTACAGACTTGCTTCTCCTAGAGATCGGTACTCGCATCGCAAATACGGTACTCTCATCTCCAGCATATGACTCTTCATGTCCAAGGTCTTTGTCATGTCTAACCATGTCTGGAAATGAAGTACTAGTGATGGATGGGGGAAACATGGTCCTGTAATATATTATAGTGATGAGTTTATTGACAGTATGGGGGTCACTGGCCCATTATACAGATACAGCGTATAACATATTGAAGCGCCTGAAGTATACTGATGGAAAAAAATAAGGGATCACATGAAAGCACAAGTGTTCCTTTATTTTAATCCAGGTTTCTTCACAAGCTTTTAATCGCATCAAGGTTTCTTCACAAGCTTTGCGGTTCAAAGCTCGTGAAGAAACTTTGGCCAAAAATAAAGGAACACTTGTACTTTCATGTGATCCATTATTTCTTTCCCTCAGTATATATATTTTACATGTGACTGTAGAAAACGTGATCGTAAGAATAATCTTAAGAATACATAAATCCTAAGTATACATACTTTGCCAACAGTGATAATACTTGCCTATTTTTAGATGCAATCAATTTTTGTTTGTGAAGGAAATTTATAGTAGTATGCAGGAAAGATAGAGCGCCTAAGACCATCATAAAATGTACATACCAAACAAAATGTGATATTCTGATACTATGTTCCTAACTACTCACAAAGGAGATAACCCGTTTTCTCTATTTAAAACTATTTTCCTACATACATTCTTCTATTAGGCCAGACCAATTTTATTTTTTGTTTTACGGATCCGCCGGTCATATTTTTTCAAGAAAAATAAAAAAATAAAAAAAATAATTTTCCCCGCTCAAAAATAAAATCCTATTGTTTTTATTGGCCAAAAATGTAAACTTACAAAAATAAATGTTTATTGTTTTTTGCCCCATATACACTTCATAAATTGACAAAAGTAAAACACTTTTTCCTTCCTGCCTTTAAGTTTTCCGAGGACAAAAATCCGTAAAACAGAAATAAAATTGGTTTGGCCTTAATAACTTATGACTAGACAAGCGGAGAGGTGAAAGGGCAATATGATAAACTTTCACAGGTATACATGACATATATCTTCAAAGTATGCCTCGTTTTTCATAGAACGGTACATTGTTAGTCTATTATCCATACGGAGACCTTCAAACCAGTGTTGCTTATCTATATATATATATATCTATACATCTCTGATTGAAAGATGATATGAACCGATTATTATACCAACATGCAGATTTCACCACACTTCACAGAATCCAAAATCAAACAATCTTTTTTTAACTTTTAATGCCCAACAACGCAAACACATTGCTAGAGTGAGTGAGTTTAGTTTTATGCCGCTTTTAACAACATGCCAGCAACCTTATTTGCTTGACACAACTGGTAAGAATAAACTTTCTTGATAATAGCATTATCTTGTTGATACAATAACCTTATCCAAAACTTTATAATCTACACATAACAGTTAACTTGAACTGAATGCCGTTCTAACTCACCTCTTGCCACAATATCATTTACTGGTGTCCCCGCTTACGTGATGTTGTGAGTTTATATTACGTCGCACTCAGCGGCGTAAAACCAAACTCGGTCAGTAAATAATCGAGTCTGGACCAGACAATCCAGTGATCAATGCATGAGCATCGATCTCACGCAATTGGGAACTGATGACATGTGTCATGTAGCGAGCCTGACCAACAATCACGTTAGTCGCCTTACAGAAGTCGATCATAAGCATGGGTTTCTGAAGATATTCTACCCCGGATGTTCACGGGTCTCATATTCGTATAAGTGAAACCCCCACATAGGAGGATCCAGAGGGGGAGGGTAGCAGGGGTGCGCACCCCCACTTTTGTCCTGAAATTATATGAAATGACCACTGAGACTGTCGTGCACCCCTACTTTCTCAAGAGTGTGTTCGCACAGTGATTTCTAAGACGATATCACCACTCGCGGTACTGTTACTGAACACGCCTCTCTAACGGCTTCTAGAAAAGCAGTCGGAGCCTGTGACTGTCTTTGTGACTCTGTCTATTTGACTTGAATGCCTGTGTCTTTGTGACTCTGTGACTCTGTCTATTTGACTTGAATGTCTGTGTCTTTGTGACTGTCACTCTGTGACACAGTTTCTGTCTCTATGTCTATGTGGCTGTGTGAATCTGTGTCTCTCTGAATCTGTAACTTTCACTGTCTCTGTGACTCAGTGTATCTGTTATTCTCTGATCTGTGAATCTGTAACTCTTTGGCTCTGTGTAACTGTCACTGTGTCTCTGTAACCGTGTCTGTGTCACTGTGTCTCTGTAACCGTGTCTGTGTCACTGTGTCTCTGTAACCGTGTCTGTGTCACTGTAACCGTGTCTGAGTCACTGTCTCTGTAACCGTGTCTGTGTCACTGTGTCTCTGTAACCGTGTCTGTGTCACTGTGTCTCTGTCACTATTTCTGTGCCTCACTCTGTTCGCCTCTGTGTCTGTGTGACAGTAACTAGTGCCTGTGTCTTTGTCACTGTGACTGTATCTCTGCGATTCTGTGACTGTGACTCTGTATCGCTGGGATTCTGTGACCATGCCTCTGACTGTGTCTCTGTGACTGTCTTGATCTGTGACTCTGTGACCATGCCTCTGACTCTCTGTGAATGTGACTGTCTCTCTGAGACTCTGTTCTCTGCACAAGTCTATTGGTTTATCTGTAAAGACCATAAGATCTGTGTCAGCCAATTACCCAGATGTCTCTGTGAAGATCTGACTCTGAAGATCTAGGTTGAGAACCGATCTCTGCAGCCCAAGTCTATTGGTTTATCTGTAAACAGATGAGGATCTGTGTAATTTCAGATGTCGGAAGATCTAGACTTGTTGAAGAATGTGATTAGAACCAAATCTTAAGCCCAAGACTTGGTTGAAGAATGTGATATAAGCCAAACTCGATAAGTCATAGACTTGGTTGAAGCATGTCATTGTGGCCAAACTCGATAAGGCATAGACTTGGTTGAAGCATGTCATTGTGGCCAAACTCGATAAGGCATAGACTTGGTTGAAGCATGTCATTGTGGCCAAACTCGATAAGGCATAGACTTGGTTGAAGCATGTCATTGTGGCCAAACTCGATAAGGCATAGACTTGGTTGAAGCATGTCATTGTGGCCAAACTCGATGAAATGTCATTGTGGCATAGACTTGGTTGAAGCATGTCATTGTGGCCAAAGGCATAGACGATAAGAATGTGATATAAGCCAAACTCATAGACTTGGTTGAAGCATGTCATTGTGGCCAAACTCGATAAGGCATAGACTTGGTTGAAGCATGTCATTGTGGCCAAACTTGATAAGGCATAGACTTGGTTGAAGCATGTCATTGTAAGGCATAGACTTGGTTGAAATTGATAAGGCATAGACTTGGTTGAAGCATGTCATTGTGGCCAAACTTGATAAGGCATAGACTTGGTTGAAGCATGTCATTGTTGCCAAACTCTATAACCCATAGACACACCACATAGCTGCGCTAAACAAACTGACTTGATTAATCGTTTACACTTCGTTTGGCTCAATGACTTCACGCACCACAGTGAACAACTATGCGTCTTCCTTCCAAGTTAAACTAGCACAAAGTCATATCACTGAAATATTGTTTTAGATGATATCCCCTCATTAATTGTCCATGAAGATCCCATTCAGAATTGGTCTTAAGCAACTAATGCTTGTCATAAGAGGTGCCTAACGGGATCAGGTGGTCAGGCTCGCTGTCATGGTAGATGCATGTCCTCGTACCCCAACCCTTGATGATACAGGGTAGAACAGGTCTTCAGCAAACCATGCTTGCCACAAAAGGCGACTATGCTAGTCGTAAGAGGCGACTAACGGAATCGGGTGGTCAGGCTCGCTGACTTGGTTGACACATGTCATCAGTTCCCAATTGCGCAGATCAATGCTCATGCTGTTGATCACTGGATTGTCTGGTCTAGACTTGATTATTTATAGAGCTTGAATATTGCTGAGTGCGGCGTAAAACTAAACTCACTCACTCACCCAACTGAGTAGACCAATACTCATGTTAATCACTGGATTGTCTCTTCCAGAATATGAATATTTATCGACTGCTAGGGAAATGCTGAGTCATGCATTACAGAACAAAAAATAATGGCACAAGAAAGATCAGCAGCAGCAGGTAATCATTATTTATGACTGTTGACACTGGAGAAAGTGAGTGAGTGAGTTTAGTTTTACGCCACTTTCAGCAACATTCCAGCAATATCACGGTGGGGACACCAGAAATGGGCTTCACATATTGTACCCATGTGGGGAATCGAACCGTGTGATGAGCGAACACTTTAACCACTTGGCTACCCCACCGCCCCATTGATTGACTGACTGACTGAGTTGCTGTTTTACGCCGCTTTTAGAAATATTCCAGCTACATCACTGCAGGGGACACCAGAAATGAGCTTCACACAATGTACCCATGTGGGGATTCGAACCCGGGTTTTCGGCGTGACGAGCCAACGCTTTAACCACTAGGCTACCCCACCGCCCCGCCCAATTGACACTGGAAAGCAACAACCATTTGGCAGTTACATTCCAGCTCACAGGAGAATCCTGAACAGATGCTCAAAACAATGCTTCTTCCCACTCATGTAACCATGGCAACCATAGAACAGAAAACAAACGGAACAGTTATTTGCATTCTTTCACCATAACTATTTTTGTACACAAACCATAACATGTATAACGGCATCAAAGAGGAATCACCTTGACAACTGTGTAGAGGTTTGCCTCCGTCAATAATTCAAACAAAAGGACAAAGGATCATATGGACTACTGGCAAAGAAGGATAAGTTGGACGGGCCCAGAGAACGTGTTTACGAGAAGTAGGCGGGGCACAGCCATGAGCAAACCCATTTTGTAGGCTAGTGCACGTGCATTGCATGACGATGAAATTTATTCCGCTCGTAGCTGCACACGCCTTGCTTCACCCATCACACTACACTTGATCGCGGACAACCTGGGGCCCCTTTGCTAACAATGGCAAGCGCCAGTAAGCGGCACTCATACATGCTAATAAGGGCTAATTGTCAGGTCGGTGCTCAACCTATCCTTGTTTGCCAGTAGTTTTAGTCCGCCAGAGCAGCTGTATACACAAATGAGTGAGATGGGTTTATGCTTGGAGCGATACCCAGTATTATCCCAGTGGGTGTGAGGAGGAATACCCCAAGTGATTTGGATCTTAGACATCTACAACTTGGGCAGGCATGAAGACCAGCGGATGACTAAACTGTTTCCTCTCACCTAAAACACCAGCATCTCCAGGGTTGCCAACCCCACCAAGTGACAGATGTATCACACTATACACAATCTCATTACAATCAGATCTACAGCTGCACAGGGATCCAAGTACAGGTCACAATGACCTTTGATCAATCAATGAAAGTCAACATTAGGCAATCAGAACACAGCTTTCTTGGGGTTTAGAGCACTAAATTTCAAAACGACAACTTATATTTAAAACAAAGCTTTTAACACAAAGTTTTAAAGAAAGTTTTTGATTAAAAATTTTGATAGTTGAACAAAAAAAAATATCTGGAAAGTCAAGTGTCTGAGATGCTGTATGGCCGTACTTGACACAAGTCTCTCATGTTTCAAACGTCTGACCTGTCCATCTCAAGCATTCACACTTTCACCATTGCGATCTTGCAGGTAATGCTTAGACTGGTCAGATGGGAGGTTGTTCTCACATGACCCTACAATCAGTGTTTCCGTTATCCGGTATATACCGGACTTTGACCGGTACAAAGTTAGAATGTCCGGTAATTTCAAAGGCTGTCGGTCATCGTGTCTGGCAAATTTTAATATAAATTTTATAATCACCTGTCAATTTTATTTCTTTCTCAAAAAGATTATGTTTTCACAATGACATCGAGGTGCAGTCAAATAAAAAATAGCAGTTTTGGAAAACACTAGGCTAAAAAAACCCCGACATTGATACATTGCGATACCCTCTACATTTCTGATTGGTTGATGGGGTGCAAGGTCTCGTGCACAATGAAAAGCGTGATCACTTGACCGGTAAAATTTACAAATGACCGGTATTTGAAATGCTAGCGGTCATAATGTCTAGCTCTAAAAAATGCCAGCGGAAACAATGACAATCTCTGACATTTGTGGAGTGGCAGCGAGCACTGAGATCTCATTGCAATGGCATTGGGTTATACACCATTTTAACATCAAGCTTCAAACATTGTACCAGTGTGTGTGTGTGAACCAACTGAAGTATGTCACCAGGCTATAACATGAAGTCTATGTACACAAGTGACTACAAAAACTGAAATATTTTGTCATCACTGACTGAGTTTGGTTTCATGCGCTTAGCAAGGAGAATAATGACAATTATTATGGATATGCCAGCTTCTTTTATTCTGTGGAGGAATAAAGAAGTTGTATATCCATAATAATTGTCATTATTCTTCATCAACTCCACTTCTGAAATGCCCACCAAAGAAAACACTGTAAGAGTTGGCAATGAAGTCTCCCACGTTATCAACTGAACATGTTGATGCATATTTTCACAAACTCAGCTTCTGCTGGCTTATCTCACAAAACCTGTTACAAACACAGAACGCAATTCCCATCTTGTTCAAATTGTCACCTTTCACAAGAATGGAGGACCTGAACTCAAAGTGACACTGTCACTCATTAGAAGTTTTGTCCATCTATACATCATGGGTGCTGGCTTCATGAATGATGATCATGATGATGGATTTGCGATGATGGTACTATCTCACTACGCGAAAGTCTGATCTCACACCTCGTCTTCGTTCAGCAGCATGTTGGGGATACCATTGCTGATGGGAAACTTCCTCCCGGATTCGGGGCACACCAGATTGCCCTCGATCACCTCAACCTGAAACCATGGAAACAGGTGTCATTCATGGGACACCACAAATGGGCTTCACACACTGTACCCTACTGAATAAATCGAACCCGTATCTTCAGTGTGATGAACACTTCAACCACCCAACTGCCCGTATTTATATATCTTCGTAGGTCAAGCACCATGGCCGATCATGACCTTTGTAGTGTAGAGGCCTACATTATTTTACAGTTTGAACAGGATCAACGGTGACAAGCAGGTCAGTCTGCTTGATACTTTCAATCACTGTTATTTGTGACTGTTTCATGACAACTGACCCACCTGCATCAGGACATGGTGTGCTTGTTTCAGGAACTCCTGGTCAGTTTCGTAACTTCCACCTACGTCAGCCGGGAGGTTTTCGCCATGACCAACCTGGATAGTAATGGAGAACATTGTCAGTACACCTCCAGGTGACAGCCTGTTTACCCCTGACTAGCAATACTAGGTGGCAGCCTGTTTACCCCTGACTAGCAATACTAGGTGACAGCCTGTTTACCCCTGACTAGCAATACTAGGTGGCAGCCTGTTTACCCCTGACTAGCAATACTAGTAGTTCACCAAGAGTGAGTGAGTGAGGGAGTTTCGTTTTACGCCGCACTCAGCAATATCCGAGCTATATGGCGGCGGTCTGTAAATAATCGAGTCTGGACCAGACAATCCAGTGATCAACAGAATGAGCATCGATCTGCGTAATTGGGAACCGATGACATGTGTCAACCAAGTCAGCGAAACTGACCACCCATTCCCGTTAGTCGCCTCTTACGACAAGCATAGTCGCCTTTTGTGGCAAGCATGGGTTGCTGAAGACCTATTCTACCCCGGATCTTCACGGGTCAGTTCACCAAGAATATTTCAGTTGTTTCTGCTATTTGGCAGGAGTCACTTTTACCAGAGAGCCAGCTGAAGATGTCAGCCTTGACTGCTGTGTTGATTTACATGCAGATTCAACACTTGACATCCACATCAGGCTTTCAAGTGGCCATCAGTCAGAGAGTCGGACTCATTTCAGTCCTTAACTAACTAATCTCCAAACCCTCATTATCAAGCCTGGTTTGTCAGCAATTTACTCCCTCTCATAACAATCACATCAAGATTTCCATCAACATGTAGCAGACAAAAGATGCACACAATAATTCACTGATCACAAGTCACAAACTCACCTCAGATGCTGCAGAATATAAGGCGGGCCAGTCCAGCTTGGGAATCATTCGAGACACAAATTCTGGGTTGAAGTCCACGTCTTTCACCTCTACTTTGTCAGCCTGTAATAAAAGGAATATAGCAAACTTACTGCATCATAAGTGGCAGTAGATTCATATCCGACATCAATAATAATCTTATCATTTACTCCCTGTGTGTGCGCTACCATTATTATTTTTCTTTGTGGGTTGTTTACTATGTGTTTGTAGCCGTTTTGACTTTTGAGATGTAAGTCTGTGTTTAGTTAAGGATCTTCTTTATTCATCAGTTGTATGCCGGTGTAATCACGGACGAGGGCTCCTGGATCGGAATAACCTGTGAGTGTGAAGCTAGAGTAGAGCCAGAGCAGGTATAGTTTAAACTACGGTCAGCTGTGCTTGGTAAACTGCACCCTTGTCTGTTTCCATAAGATAAAGAATAATATATGCCTACCAAAATCTTGAGGGGGTAACCTTTCGACACCCCTTGATGATGTTAGATGTCAACATGTTATGTGTAAGCAGCTTCATAATTGACAAATAAACACGAGTTTCCAGAGCCCAATTTCAAGCAGCGTGTTATTTTGCCGGAAGTAAGAACTCATAAAGAACGGAATTACGAAAACGAATTGGATGCTATAAATCTAGCACAAAACTAAATAAACTAAACATTGGGAGTAGATACACTGACAAATAATCAGTAGTTCATTCAATCAGTTAAAAGTACCCAGTTTTAATGTCCCCGAATGGTGATATAAAAACAAATTACTCATTTGCCGCTTGCCAGTCCGAGTTTTTATGAATCAAAGATGGCAGCCCCCATGATACATGCGTAATGTTTTGGCTGTCTGGAGACAGTGACACATCAAACCATATAAGAGACACCAGACTTCTACAGGTGAGAGTTTTTATTTGTGTTGGCATTGCTTTAAATATATGTGGCAGTAACAGATTTTGTATATTTTAACATGTTGTAAATTGATTAGAATTCATGTAAATAAATGCTTTAAATTTCATTGCACAGCTTTAGTCATTTTATTTTATCATGATACTTAGCCTGCCTTAACTAACTATCACTCACAGCCAGTTCACTGAGCATGCTTACCGCATGTTCACCACACAGCACAATAACATAAGCCCTTCCCCACCTACGTTCTTTTGTCTTTATAGCCAGCTTGGGCAATCAGCTAAGCTTTACACTTTTACACATTACAAGGTTTGTGGTCACTCCACATTCAATCTTCAGTGTGTCAACATGTCTTGTTCATTTTCTGGACATACCTTTGGATCATATCTTTGGATCATATTCTAAGGCAAACATTTAATACAGATACAGCAGCGTCCCCAGGTGTGAAATAAACCTAGGCCCACACACCTGGGTTGTCGTTTTCACCTATACCATATCTCCAATAAATCATCGGCCATTGAAGAACAACAAAAGTAGCGTCTGTTGTCTGTGCGTGACTGATGCAGTCCTGCTACATATATATATATAATTATGACACTGATATTTGTGAAAATAAAATAAATATTCACGTGTTTACAAATTAACAGGATGGCAAGTGAGCGGAGACTGCTTGTTCTGTACGGCAGTCAGACGGGGTACCGCGCAGGATGTGGCTGAAAGAGTAGGGAGGGAGGCTCGGAGACGACATTTCCACACGAGAGTCTCGGAACTGGATTCATATCAAGTTGTAAGTCACTAAGAAGTTAAATATACGAAAACAGTTTTATGACTCTGGTCTGGGCCGATCAACGTGGATGATAAGATAATAGCTATGAAGTTAACGGAGATATGTTTGTTTTAATAAATAAATGGGGCTCTTCTAGATTCATCTCTCTGCAACAGTGCAGTTTATGAGACGCAAACCAAACAGCAGGCCCACTCTTAGCTGAGCAATTATACCACGTACCCTATATATAGTGTCTCGCCATGATCACGCTTAGACCTCCTTCCGTGGGACTTCGGGAGCTGACACCACTTTATCAGCACACACAGTGCAGTTAAAGTACAATTAGAATTATCTATTAATCATATATTGAATAGGTTATCTTTAACATATTAAGCACGTAATGGCAAGGTTTCAGCAGTGATGTTGGTGTCAGGAACCAACATATATGTGTCAAATAGAGGTGATTACAGGTATTTGAAACCTCTGATTATCCAATGAACATCCATTCTTTTTCCAAGTCATGTCAATTTAAGGCATCAGAAGTATGTTGTTGTTTGTATATTTACGTGTATATATTGTGGTGATAATCCGTGTGTCATAATTGCCATGGTTACAGGCTGACCTGATTCATGAGCCACTGGTCATCTTCGTGTGTGCCACTACCGGTCAAGGTGACCCTCCAGATAACATGAAGGTCAGTTTACTGCAGCAGTACCGCACTGGATGCCTGGCAGAATAACATTTCTCCACAATGTAATTTAACAAAAACAGTTCGCTCTACTCCCATGTATAGTGTAATAAAGTACAGTTTTATAGTTATTGTTATAGCTAGAGCATGATTTATCTCTGCAGAAAACAAACCGAACTGTGTTGGTGACCTAAATTAACAATCCCCATTCAGGGCTGCCTGACATGCTGTTCTGTTGAACTGTCTGTCACCCTACCCTAACATACACAATACCAAGACAACAAATGATAAACTGTTTGAAGATGGTTAATGTTCATTTAAATATTTTCTCTATTTTATTTTGATTACATCTGTGATTATCGTAAACCAAATGGGGCAATATGAGCGTAAGTCCCAGCCCTGAACTGACAACAGAAGTCAGACAAGTCACAGGTAAACCTGTGGTCTGAACCTGTGCAGTTCAATAGGAGTTACCTCCTATGACCATTTCTGGTTCAGAAATTGAGCAGTATCTTGTGGAGTATATAAAGGTTGTGAACATGAAAAATCTTAATCACTGTTTCTTAATCTTTTGACTTGGGATTAATTAATTCTAATCCACTCCCTTAATACAGATTTGCTTTAAGAGAATGAAGTATAATATCTATAAGGTATTCATCCCTCCTCACCTGGAAAGGGCGGTGGGGTAGCCCAGTGGTTAAAGCGTTCACTCGTCACGCCAAAAACACGGGTTCAATTCCCCACATGTGTGAAGCCCATTTCTGGTGTCCCCAGACGTGATATTGCTGGGATATTGCTAAAAGTGGTGTAAAACCATACTCACTCACTCACCTGGAAACCAAGCACTTCACTTGTCCCTAAGTTTGATGATGTTATGTCCCTGTACCAGAGCTCCAGATAAGATTTAGCTCATGTGGGTACTGTACCCACTGTATTTTTTTGGAGTGGGTATTATGAATGTTGAGTGGGTATTTCATTTTCCGTTACCCACTGCTTTCAAATATGTGCGTATTTGAGTCATATTACTCACCTAAGTATTATGTGACTGAGTAAGTTTACTAAGCAGGTATGTTCTGCCTTATTTCATACCTAATCAAAACCAACTTAAATATAATGGAAATGATTTCATAAAAAATCACTCATCCTATACTGACAGTACAACACTTGTCCTATACTAACAGTACAACTTGATAGCAATCAATGTCTTTTTCATTACGCAAGCAATTTTTATAAATATATTCCATAAGCATTTGTTTTAAACTTTTTGCGTATCTAACATTTTAAATGCATAATTGGTACGCAACAATTATTTTTCAATGCGTAATTGAAAATTTTATATACGTATATTACCCGGATATGCAGCTTATCTGGGCCTCTGCTTGTACGTAGTTTTATGTACACAGAAATGTTAAACTAAAGCTGGCAGTGTTGATTGCATGTCGTAAGCTGATAGTGTGAATGTTGCAGATCTCATTCACTGTTTTTTCTGATTCAAACTCAGATATTTTTAGGCTGCTGTTTGTTACGGTTAAATAATTGCCGTGACAAATGGTTTAAGAATCCCCTTTGAACCAGCAAAATATAACACAGACAAGTCTAAAATATTCAATAATATATTGAACAAACAATGAGCAAGCTACAATGAATCACAATACAGATTTCTAATACAATGTTATTGAATCACAAATCTAAAGTTATGGGTCACATATAAAATATCAACTCACCGCAAGCCTTGATATTTAGTGAGATCAAATATTCTAAATGGAGCTTGTTTACAATTGAAAGCAGTCAGGCACGAAGTGTCAGGGTCAGACGACGGCGATGTGACGAAGGCAAACAACGATGGGCAACTCCAGTGATATCGAAAGTCCTGTGTAATTCTGTGTGTTAGTCCGTGTGTCAGTCCTTGCGTGTTGCACAACACAACAGCCAGCCTTTATATATACTGACACATATTCTCGAACGTTCCAGCAAAGCATGGCTGTATCATTAACCACTTAGATCTTTCTCAAAGCGTGTTGAACATACGACATGACGATGTCAACACATGAACATCCGGTCAAGGGAGGTAACTCTGGAGCGCTATCATAAAGGCGTGCCGCTAAAATACTGTTGCCACTGAACATATATGACTCGAAATGTGACCCACAACCAACACTCGAAACTTTAAACATTGTGACTCATAATTATTATGACCTAACCAATTTTATTACAAATTACATAAAAAACACTCTCGTAACACTGTTAAATAGCTGGAATAATGGTGGCTGCATGAAAAAACAATTATAATCAACTTGAAAAACATAAGCACCACTAACATATAATATACCCAAACTGGTCATTAGCTGACACATTGTGGAACCATTTCATGGATGTAGGTATCTAACTGTCCCTCTACTTGCTCAACGCTCGCAATCGTCTTGGTGAGGTGAGGTGAGGTGAAATTGGGTTTTACGTCGTGCTTGAGAATATTTCGCTCATATGACGATGTGCATGCGTGTGTATGTGCAGCTGCTTGTACTAGCCCAGACTTAAGCTGGTTTTATAGTGCTAGCCCACTGAGATACCAGGCCGCAGTGAAGCATGAATACCCCACTCAGATACATTATACTGACTCTGAGCCGACCAGTCCTTGTTGTACCCATTATTGCCGAGGGCCAGGCAGGGACCAACAAGTACCATATTTAGCGTCTTTTTGGTATGCCCAGCGGTCGGGGATCGAACCGGCGACCTTCCGGCTCTCCGGGCTTTTTGGCTTTAGCTCTAACCACTACACCACGGAGGCGGTCAAATCGTCTTGGTGATCATGTGGAGAAACATACCGTGTTCTGGTCCAAACTTTGCATGTCTGGAACCCAATACATTGTCATGAGACGGTTATTACATCAGGAAATTTGTCATGTGGAGATGTATGGACTGTGTGTGTCCGCGTGTGTGCTTATGGTGTGTAATATTCATTTAATGGCAAAGTCATTCTCTACCATCTATACTTTGATGACAAATGTCACTTGAATCTTTTAGAAATTTTGGAGGTTTATCCTGCGGAAGAACCTGCCGGCCAACTCCTTGGGTCAAGTGCACTTCGCGGTGCTCGGACTCGGCGATTCTTCCTATCAGAAGTAAGTCACACCAATGTTTTTAAGAAATATGTTTCAAGTGATTCTGGGGCAGTCTGTTACAAGGTTTTACACAGACTTTTAAAAATGGGAGTCATGGTGACTCACAAAATTTATTATTGGGAGTCATTTTCAATTTTTGGGGAGTCATGAAAATTTTAATATTTCTTTGTGTTAATCATTCTCAGTATGTAACTGTGTCTGTCACACCACCAATGACTGACTGACTGACTGAGTTTGGTTTTACACCGCTTTTAGCAATATTCCAGCAACTTCACGGCGGGGGACACCAGAAATGGGCTTCACACATTGTGCCCATGTGGGGATTCGAACCCGGGTCTTCGGCATAACGAGCCTAACGCTTTAACCATTAGGCTACCCCACCGCCCCTCACACCACCAAATGCAACTACAGCATTGTTCAACTCAAACAGCCAGGATTACTGTCTCCTCTAATTTCTCTGGAACAATCTGACAGCTCTGTAAAAGTCAAACTATCATCAAACAATATCATTTTTTGCTTATCAAATCGATTTTATTGAACTGAATTGTGAGGGCCACCCATAAAACTTGAGTCAAGCTTGACTCGTATGGTAATATTTTGAAAGTCGTTTACAAAGTTGTTGTGTCAATTACGCAGGAATCACGCGTCATGTAAACCCTGCTGCTAGCTGATCAAATATGTCATGTATGCTTTCAAGAACCAAAAGCAGGGGAGGGCTTAATGTTTATAGCACTGATTGATGTCTCTGGTTTCCTACATTATTGGACGCCTCCGTGGTGTAGTGGTTAGAGCGTCCGCCCGGAGAGAGGAAGGTCGCGGGTTCGATCCCCGACCGCGTCATACCAAAAGACGTTAAAATATGGTACTTGTTGGTCCCTGCCTGGCGCTCGGCATTAATGGGTACAACAAGGACTGGTCGGCTCGGAGTCAGTATAATGTGTCTGAGTGGGGTATTCATGCTTCACTGCGGCCTGGTATCTCAGTGGGCTAGCACTATAAAAAACCAGCTTAAGTCTGGGCTAGTACAAGCAGCCGCACATACACACACACGCATGCATGTCGTCATATGAGCGATATATTCTCAAGCACGACGTAAAACCCAATTTCACCTCACCTCACATCCTACATTATTGTTTTTAATGATTAAACAAGCGACATGTAAAATTATTATTGTGGACAAATTTATGTATTTAAATTGACATGAGCATATTTTGTGCTTATAGATGAAGAATCATGATAACCCATGAGCGTCTGGTGGATCCATGTAGCCAGAGTACACTGTCCTTTTCTTGCATTTCTACCCGTGAAGGTCCGGGTTAGAATATTGATTTAGAAGAATCATGCTCGCTGATGGTTGACACATGTCATCCCAGTTGCGCAGATCGATGCTCATGCTATTGATCACTGGATTGTCTGGTCCAGACTCGATCATTTACAGACAGCTGCCATATAGCTAGAATATTGCTGAGTGAGGCACTAAACTCACTCACTCACTCTCTTGTAATTTAACATATTGAGTGCACAGTCTTGTGGTGAAAACTCGCCCTATTCTAGCTGAACTATGCATTAGCATGTTAACAATCTCATCTCATCCCACCTGGTACCCATCTTCTGCTGGGTAATGTTACCTGTCAGTTTTGTTTTTGAAACAATAAAGTTAAACAGAAATCAGTAAAAATAGTGTGGAAACATTAAACAACAAACATGTGATATGATTAACAAATATATTCTAAAATTAGTCAAGTCAAGCCCAGGAACCTCTCAGGAGTCAAGCTGTTGATCATGGTCACCCATCCAACTATTCTGCACTGTGAGAGTTGCCTAACATCACCTGATTTGTAGCCTGTATGTTGTACACATAGTCATGTATGCTTGCCTTTCGGAGGTGCCTTCCAGATGTTATCTATGTCAACCTTTTTCAGCTAAGTATCCCTTTTTCAGCTCAGTATCCCTTTTTCAGCTAAGCATCCCTCACCAATTTCTATTCATTCCAGGTTCAATGTGGTTGCAAAGAAGCTCTTCCGTCGCCTACTCCAGCTGTCCGGTCAGTCCCTGGTCAATGTCGGACTTGCAGATGACCAACATGAACTCGGGTAAGTCCCATGTCTATTGTTGTAGAGCCTCTGTGTTGACCCTTGTTGGGACAGATCCCTGCCTACTGTTGTAAAGCCTCTGTGTTGACCCTTGTTAGAACAGATCCTATGTCTATTGTTGTAAAGCCTCTGTGTTGACCCTTGTTAGAACAGATCCCATGTCTATTGTTGTAAAGCCTCTGTGTTGACCCTTGTTGGAACAGATCCCATGTCTATTGTTGTAAAGCCTCTGTGTTGACCCTTGTTGGAACAGATCCCATGTCTATTGTTGTAAAGCCTCTGTGTTGACCCTTGTTGGAACAGATCCCTACCTACTGTTGTAAAGCCTCTGTGTTGACCCTTGTTGGAACAGATCCCATGTCTACTGTTGTAAAGCCTCTGTGTTGACCCTTGTTGGAACAGATCCCATGTCTATTGTTGTAAAGCCTCTGTGTTGACCCTTGTTGGAACAGATCCCATGTCTACTGTTGTAAAGCCTCTGTGTTGACCCTTGTTAGAACAGATCCCTGCCTACTGTTGTAAAGCCTCTGTGTTGACCCTTGTTGGAACAGATCCCCTACTGTTGTAAAGCCTCTGTGTTGACCCTCCCATGTCTATTGTTGTAAAGCCTCTGTGTTGACCCTTGTTGGAACAGATCCCTGCCTACTGTTGTAAAGCCTCTGTGTTGACCCTTGTTGGAACAGATCCCTGCCTACTGTTGTAAAGCCTCTGTGTTGACCCTTGTTGGAACAGATCCCATGTCTTCTGTCTACCGTAAAGCCTTCTGTGTTGACCCTTGTTGGAACAGATCCCATGTCTATTGTTGTAAAGCCTCTGTGTTGACCCTTGTTGGAACAGATCCCATGTCTATTGTTGTAAAGCCTCTGTGTTGACCCTTGTTGGAACAGATCCCATGTCTTGTTGGAACAGATCCCATGTCTACTGTTGTAAAGCCTCTGTGTTGACCCTTGTTGGAACAGATCCCATGTCTATTGTTGTAAAGCCTCTGTGTTGACCCTTGTTGGAACAGATCCCATGTCTATTGTTGTAAAGCCTCTGTGTTGACTGTTGTAACAGCCTCTGTGTTGTAAAGCCTCTTGTTGGAACAGATCCCATGTCTATTGTTGTAAAGCCTCTGTGTTGACCCTTGTTGGAACAGATCCCTGCCTACTGTTGTAAAGCCTCTGTGTTGACCCTTGTTGGAACAGATCCCATGTCTAGAACAGATCTGTTGTGTAAAGCCTCTGTGTTGACCCTTGTTGGAACAGATCCCTGTCTACTGTTGTAAAGCCTCTGTGTTGACCCTTGTTGGAACAGATCCCATGTCTACTGTTGTAAAGCCTCTGTGTTGACCCTTGTTAGAACAGATCCCTACCTACTGTTGTAAAGCCTCTGTGTTGACCCTTGTTGGAACAGATCCCATGTCTATTGTTGTAAAGCCTCTGTGTTGACCCTTGTTGGAACAGATCCCATGTCTACTGTTGTAAAGCCTCTGTGTTGACCCTTGTTAGAACAGATCCCTACCTACTGTTGTAAAGCCTCTGTGTTGACCCTTGTTAGAACAGATCCCCTACTCTACTGTTGTAAAGCCTCTGTGTTGACCCTTGTTGGAACAGATCCCATGTCTACTGTTGTAAAGCCTCTGTGTTGACCCTTGTTGGAACAGATCCCTGTCTATTGTTGTAAAGCCTCTGTGTTGACCCTTGTTGGAACAGATCCCATGTCTATTGTTGTAAAGCCTCTGTGTTGACCCTTGTTGGAACAGATCCCATGTCTATTGTTGTAAAGCCTCTGTGTTGACCCTTGTTGGAACAGATCCCATGTCTGTTGTTGTAAAGCCTCTGTGTTGACCCTTGTTGGAACAAATCCCATGTCTACTGTTGTAAAGCCTCTGTGTTGACCCTTGTTGGAACAGATCCCTGTCTACTGTTGTAAAGCCTCTGTGTTGACCCTTGTTGGAACAGATCCCATGTCTACTGTTGTAAAGCCTCTGTGTTGACCCTTGTTAGAACAGATCCCTACCTACTGTTGTAAAGCCTCTGTGTTGACCCTTGTTAGAACAGATCCCTACCTACTGTTGTAAAGCCTCTGTGTTGACCCTTGTTAGAACAGATCCCTACCTACTGTTGTAAAGCCTCTGTGTTGACCCTTGTTAGAACAGATCCCTACCTACTGTTGTAAAGCCTCTGTGTTGACCCTTGTTAGAACAGATCCCTGCCTACTGTTGTAAAGCCTCTGTGTTGACTACAAACAGACCTGGGTTCTGATGGAGATGCCAGAATTTACTCCTGGTTGACATTGCTATGGTAATGAGTTCTGTAATGATACCTGTGTGTTTCAGACCAGATGCTGTTATTGACCCGTGGTTGACATCACTATGGGAACAGGTTCTAGACTTGTGGCCCCTGCCTCCTGGGACAGAGATCATCCGTTCTGATATATGGTAATATATTGTCATGATATGTTGACCTCACAATTAGGGCTGCGCAATATAACCGGTTTACCGGTAGTTACTGGTTCAGACATGAAAACGATACGTATTGCGATACGCTGATCGAAAACCGGTATTTTGACTTGCATTCGGAAAACTTCGTAACACTCGGAAATGTTCAGATATGTCCTTGTTTCATTTGTGCCAAATAATATTCACATTTTTGTTTTATCATGATTTAAAGTTGTTATTACAGCTTAATCCAGCCAAGTGATTTTGTTGTGTTTTTGCTCTATAAATCAAGAAGTAACTCGATTATAAGTAGTTTTTGTTTAAAAATACTTCATACAATATATTGCAATACATATCGCAATACATGCTTTCACATCGCAATATATCGCAATATGAAAATTCTCTGCAATACCCACCCCTACTCACAATACACTGTTTGTTGACTTATTCGAATAGTACTTCAGCAATACTTGAAAAAGTTTGATATTTTTCATCATCCATGATAATAATTTCTTCACAAAAAAACACATACTGAATTCTCGATGACAAAGTCTGCTTCATAACAGGCACTAAATTTGAAATTGTTCAATTTCTAATAAATCTGATAAGCCCTGTTCAATCTCACATATTGCATTCATGGTAGCTGTTTCTTAAAGCTGGGGTGGTGGGGGTAGCCTAGTGGTTAAAGCGTTGGCTCGTCACGCCGAAGACCCGGGTTCGAATCCCCACATGAGTACAATGTGTGAAGCCCATTTCTGGTGTCCCCCGCCGTGATGTTGCTGGAATATTGCTAAAAGCAGCATAAAACCAAACTCAGTCAGTCTTAATGCTGGGAGGAAACAAAATTCAGAGCATGTATCCTTCATGTTCCTGGCCCTGTAACGCCTCACCCAAACACAACTATTCATAACACAACCATCATCAACTTGCCTTGCAACACACAGTTATGTCGCTTACGGAACATTTCCATACTATCTTCCATCTGCATTATATAATGTTTGCTTAAAGACTAGGTATATGAAACACATTTCTACTGTTTGAATTATTCAAATGAAATATATTTATTAAGTTGACAATGACTTTTCACACCAGCATGTTGCCGGCTACGTGATGTTTCTGCAATGTTTTCCTTCAGCCCAGCCCCGAGATTTAAGGTCACCTTCTGTGAGAGGAACTTCAGCAGTGTGAATGGAAGCCAGTGTGTCAACAAGGGCACATACTCTGCAACAGATCCATACATGGCCCGTCTGATTTCTAATAACAGAGTTACTGCCCCTGACCACTTTCAAGATGTCCGCCATGTGAAGCTGGACACCACAGACTCAGGACTTAGGTATGTTTTCTGTGATTTCTCGGATTGTCAGCTCAACTGATCCAAGACAATCTAGGCCTGACTTCACCTCATAATTTTGGTGATTTGAGACATATTTGACTTTGGTTATGCACCAGGTGATGTGAGACATGTTTGACTTCAGTTATGCACCGGGTGATGTGAGACATGTTTGACTTCAGACACTGTTTGACTTTGACTTCAGCTATGCACCAGGTGATGTGAGACATGTTTGACTTCAGCTATGCACCAGGTGATGTGAGACATGTTTGACTTCAGCTATGCACTGGGTGATGTGAGACATGTTTGACTTCAGCTATGCACCAGGTGATGTGAGACATGTTTGACTTCTATGCACCAGACATGTTTATCAGCTATACTGGCTATACATGATGTGAGACATGTTTGACTTCAGCTATACACTGGGTGATGTGAGACATGTTTGACTTCAGCTATACACTGGGTGTGATGTCAGATACACTGGGTGATGTGAGACATGTTTGACTTCAGCTATGCACCAGGTGATGTGAGACATGTTTGACTTCAGCTATGCACCAGGTGATGTGAGACATGTTTGACTTCAGCTATACACTGGGTGATGTGAGACATGTTTGACTTCAGCTATGCACTGGGTGATGTGAGACATGTTTGACTTCAGCTATGCACTGGGTGATGTGAGACATGTTTGACTTCAGCTATGCACTGGGTGATGTGAGACATGTTTGACTTCAGCTATAGGTGATGTGGGTGATGTGAGAGACATGTTTGACTTCAGTTATGCACAAGGTGATGTGAGACATGGACTTGATGTGATGGAGACATGTTTGACTTCAGCTATACACCAGGTGATGTGAGACATGTTTGACTTTAGCTATACACCAGGTGATGTGAGACATGTTTGACTTCAGCTATACACCAGGTGATGTGAGACATGTTTGACTTCAGCTATGACACCAGGTGATGTGAGACATGTTTGACTTCAGCTATGCACCAGGTGATGTGAGACATGTTTGACTTCAGCTATGCACCAGGTGATGTGAGACATGTTTGACTTCAGCTATGCACCAGGTGATGTGAGACATGTTTGACTTCAGCTATGCACCAGGTGATGTGAGACATGTTTGACTTCAGCTATACACCAGGTGATGTGAGACATGTTTGACTTCAGCTATACACCTGATGTGAGACATGTTTGACTTCACCAGGTGATGTGAGACATGTTTGACTTCAGCTATACACCAGGTGATGTGAGACATGTTTGACTTCAGCTATACACCAGGTGATGTTGAGACATGTTTGACTTCAAGCTATCACCAGGTGATGTGAGACATGGTGGAGGAGTTTCTTCAACATTTCAGTCTGGACCGAGACACAGAGTTTACAGTGGAGCAGACTGATCCTGGTAGGTGACAACAGAGTGGTCTAGGATGACATCCTGCATCTTAATAACAGAAAAACAATTTGGTGTGCATCTACTGGGAATACCCCAGGTACATCAGTATTTATGATTCTGTTGCATTATTATCTAATAATCTCCATATTTTCCTGTTTGTTGATGGCTAGCTGTGATGGTTTTAGTTACCTTGTGGAACTTGATATTCTGTCAACAGCCTTTGATCATGCACTGTCTTACATATTGTGGTAGACTACTGTATCCAAACTTTGTGACATCAAAGCGGAACATCTATTTTTTAACCTGGACCCATAAATTTATGTCTTAAACTCCTCTCGACCCCCTCCCCGGTCCCATACCCAACCCCAAAGATCCAGAATCAAGATAAAAAACAGATGGAACCCAAATCTCTATTTGGTATGTTTAACCAGTAACCATCGTAACCTCCCCATTTCCCCGTCCTCCTTCCCAGCCCTTGTAGCCAGTGATGAAACATTGTATCAAATGCTAAACAGTACTTTTGTAACCTTTATACCTTTACAGTGAAACTTTACACTCAGTTTATGCTCCTAACTGTATCCCAGTCATTGTCAGTGAGTCATCTGAACTCATCTGCCCATAGACCCGTGAAGGTCCGGGTTAGAATGAGCCTTCAGTAACCCATGCTTGTCGTAAGAGGCGACTAACGGGTAAGTGGTCAGGCTCGCTGACTTGGTTGACACATGTCATCGGTTCCCAATTGCGCAGATCGATGCTCAGGCTGTTGATCACTGGATTGTGTGGTCCAGACTCGATTATTTACAGACCGCCGCCATATAGCTGGAATATTGCTGAGTGCGGCGTAAAACTAAATTCACTCACTCACTCATCTGCCCATCCTTGGTTCTCCCAGACATTCCACTGCCACCCTCCCTACCGCGGCGCTGCACTGTCGGCCATCTTGTGCAGAAGTATCTGGATATTGGGGGAATCCCGCGCAGGTACTTCTTCGAACTTCTGTCTCTTCTGTCCTCTGATGAGCTGGAGAAGGAAAAGCTGCAAGAGTTCTCGTCAGCAGAAGGACAGGTACAGTGCAGCTTCCTCTTCTGTGTTTATGTATCTTTGTCAGTATATGTACCCTGGTACATTCATGTACCTTGGTCAGTATATGTACCTCTGTAAGTGTATGTACCCCTTTAAGCTTATGTACCTCTCAGTAAGTTTATGTACCTCTGTATATTCGTGTACCTGTGTAAGTTTATGTACCTTGGTACATTCATGTACCTCTGTAAGTTGATGACCCGTGAAGGTCCGGGTTAGAATATTGGCCTTCAGTAACCCATGCTTGTCGTAAGAAGAGGCGACTAAAGGGATCAGGTGGTCAGACTCGCTGACTTGGTTGACACATGTCATCGGTTCCCAATTGTGCAAATTGATGCTTATGCTGTTGATCACTGGATTGTCTGGTCCAGACTCGATATTTACAGACCGCCACCATGTAGCTGGAATATTGCTGAGTGCAGCGTAAAACTAAACTCACTAACTCACTTACTGTAAGTTTATGTACCTTGGTACATTCGTGTACCTCTGTAAGTTTATGTACCTCTGTAAGTTTATGTACCTCGGTAAGTTGATGTATCTCATTAAGTTTATGTATCTCGGTATATTCGTGTACCTCTGTAAGTTTATGTACCTTGGTACATTGGTGTACCTCTGTAAGTCTATGTACCTGGGTAAGTTTATGTATCTCATTAAGTTCATGTATCTCTGTAAGTTTATGTACCTCTGTAAGTTTATGTACCTCGGTAAGTTGATGTATCTCATTAAGTTTATGTATCTCGGTATATTCGTGTTCCTCTGTAGGGGCGGTGGGGTAGCCTAGTGGTTAAAGCGTTGGCTCGTCACGCCGAAGACCCGGGTTCGAATCCCCACATGGGCACAATGTGTTAAGCCCATTTCTGGTGTCCCCCGCCGTGATATTGCTGGAATATTGCTAGAAGCGGCGTAAAACTAATCTCAGTCAGTCAGTTCCTCTGTAAGTTTTTGTACCTCTGTAAGTTTATGTACCTTGGTACATTCGTGTACCTCTGTAAGTCTATGTACCTTGGTATCTTCATGTACCTCTTAAACTAACATGGGGGTACATGACACCGTGCAGGTGGAGGATGTGTAATGTCTACAGAGTTTGTACTTGATAACTTGCAGGAGGAGCTGTATACCTACTGCAACAGACCACGCCGGACGACGCTAGAGGTAGGCCTTCCTATCACTTCTGATCAAAATCCCATCAAAACAAATACAAGTTTAAATATCAGTATGTAACATTGTTGCCGTTTATCTTCACAAACAAGCCTGTCACAGTAATAATAGTGTCCAGCTTTCATTGATGCCACTATGAGTTACACAGACGTTCCGACAATGTTGTTGTCCGAGTGCTCCAGACAAGATAAGAATGATGATAACAAAATTGCAGTAACGGATAATAAAGTTGAAAATTCAACACCAAATTCCTGAAGTAATTATACACAGTCTGTAACTATTAGATTCAAATGCCTGCATGACTTGGTTACCCAGCTACTGTTTGTAGTCAGCGGTGTTGGCAGTGATGCTGTAGTCAACAATGTTGGCAGTGATGCTGTAGCCAGCTGTGTTGGCAGTGATGCTGTAGTCAGCAGTTTGTAGTCAATGTGGCCCGCTCAAGGTCTAAACATTCCAGTCTTGCCTGTGTGCTTGTGTTCGGTGTTCAATGCATGAACCGAGTCCAAATAACCGAGTCTGGACCAGACAATCCAGTGACTGACATCATGACCATAGATCTATGCAAATGGGATATGATGACATGTTTGATCCAAGTCACAGACCCGTGAAGGTCTGGGTTAGAATATTGATCTTCAGTAACCCATGCTTGTCGTAAGAGGCGACTAACGGGATCGTGTGGTCAGGCTCGCTGACTTGGTTGACACATGTCATTGGTTCGCAATTGCGTAGATCAACGCTCATGTTGTTGATCACTGGATTGTGTGGTCCAGACTCGATTATTTACAGACCGCCGCCATATAGCTGGAATATTGTTGAGTGCGGCGTAAAACTAAACTCACTCACTCCAAGTCACAGTCCGACTGTTCAGTCCTGTTCGTCACCACTCGTGATGCGTGACACTTGTGACGCAGAAGGTCTGAGTTTGATTCCAGTCAACTCATTCACTCCTTCATACCTCAGCCAGTCAGCCAACCATTTTTATCTGTGGCCTTGAACACTGGCTCTTGTGTTTTATTATTTGAAATTAGTCAATATCTATATGAAAGAAGTAGAAACGTTTTCCTTAATTTACAGGTTTTACAAGACTTTCCACAGACAAGCAGTCAAATACCATTTGAGTACCTCCTGGACTTGATCCCACCGCTGCAGCCAAGAGCTTTCTCAATAGCGTCATCACAGCAGGTAGGGAAACAATATCGTCATCACAGCAGGTGGGGAAACAATAGCGTCATCACAGCAGGTAGGGAAACAATAGTGTCGTTACAGCAGGTGGGGAAACAATAGCATCATCACAGCAGGTGGGGAAACAATAGCGTCATCACAGCAGGTGGGGAAACAATAGTGTCATTACAGCAGGTGGGGAAACAATGGTGTCATCGCAGCAGGTAGGGAAACAATAGCATGATCACTGCAGGTAGGGAAACAATAGTGTCATCGCAGCAGGTGGGGAAACAATAGTGTCGTCACAGCAGGTAGGGAAACAGCGTCATCACAGCAGGTAGGGAAACAATAGTGTCATCACAGCAAGTAGGGAAACAATAGTGTCATCGCAGCAGGTGGGGAAACAGCGTCATCACAGCAGGTGTGGAAACAATGGTGTCATCGCAGCAGGTAGGGAAACAATAGCATGATCACTGCAGGTAGGGAAACAATAGTGTCATCGCAGCAGGTGGGGAAACAATAGCATGATCACAGCAGGTAGGGAAACAATAGTGTCATCGCAGCAGGTGGGGAAACAATAGTGTCATCACAGCAGGTGGGTAAACGATGGCGTCATCACAGCAGGAAGGGAAACAATAGCGTCATCACAGCAGGTGGGTAAACAATAGCGTCATCACAGCAGGTGGGTAAACGATGGCGTCATCACAGCAGGAAGGGAAACAATAGCGTCATCACAGCAGGTGGGCAAACAATGGTGTCATCACAGCAGGAAGGGAAACAATAGCGTCATCGCAGCAGGTGGGTAAACGATGGCGTCATCACAGCAGGTGGGGAAACAATAGCGTCATCACAGCAGGTGGGGAAACAATAGCGTCATCACAGCAGGTGGGTAAACGATGGCGTCATCACAGCAGGAAGGGAAACAATAGCGTCATCGCAGCAGGTGGGGAAACAATAGTGTCATCAGAGCAGATAGGGAATAGCGTCATCACAGCAGGTAGGGAAACAATAGCGTCATCGCAGCAGGTAGGGAAACAATAGTGTCATCAGAGCAGATAGGGAATAGCGTCATCACAGCAGGTGGGCAAACAATAGCATCATCACAGCAGGTAGGGAAACGATAGCATCAGACTGATCTTGTAAAGCAGAATATATTAAAGATTTCAAACCATATCAGAATATTCCATGTTGTTAAGCCAAATATATTTTAATGATAGTAAATTTCAAACACATGTTCAATCATTTCAGGCCACACCGAATGAGATTCATCTATTGGTTGCTGTTGTACGATACAAGACGAAGCTATTCAAACCTCGGCGAGGAGTCTGTTCTACATGGCTGTCATCTCTCCAGGCTGACCAGGATGTCTGCATCCCAGTGTGGGTGAAGAGAGGAACTATACACTTCCCCACCTCACTACAGACACACCGCCATCATGGTGGGACCAGGTTAGTGGTCTACAGTCAGTGTAATCTGGGTGAAGAGAGGAACTATACACTTCCCCACCTCACTACAGACACCCGCCATCATGGTGGGACCAGGTTAGTGGTCTACAGTCAGTGTAATCTGGGTGGAGAGAGAAACTATACACTTCCCCACCTCACTACAGACACCAGCCATCATGGTGGGACCAGGTTAGTGGTCTACAGTCAGTGTAATCTGGGTGAAGAGAGGAACTGTACACTTCCCCACCTCACTACAGACACCCGCCATCATGGTGGGACCAGGTTAGTGGTCTACAGTCAGTGTAATCTGGGTGGAGAGAGGAACTGTACACTTCCCCACCTCACTACAGACACCCGCCATCATGGTGGGACCAGGTTAGTGGTCTACAGTCAGTGTAATCTGGGTGGAGAGAGGAACTATACACTTCCCCACCTCACTACAGACATCATGGTGGGACCAGGTTAGTGGTCTACAGTCAGTGTAATCTGGGTGGAGAGAGGAACTATACACTTCCCCACCTCACTACAGACACCCGCCATCATGGTGGGGCCAGGTTAGTGGTCTACAGTCAGTGTAATCTGGGTGGAGAGAGGAACTATACACTTCCCCACCTCACTACAGACACCCGCCATCATGGTGGGACCAGGTTAGTGGTCTACAGCCAGTGTAATATTTGTGAAGAGAGGAACTATACACTAGAGTATTTTACCCTTCCACCATCCTACAGTATTATACACCACTTACTGTCGTCTGTCTCTGTTCCAGGAACTGGGGTTGCTCCATTCAGAAGTTTTATCCACAACCGAGCTGCCCTCAATGCTGGAGGTATGTGTTGTCTCTGGGGTCTTTATCAGGATTTTACAACTGGTCAAGATGTGACCTGTATATCGACTGTGAATAGTTGTGACCAATGCCTGTCAAGAGCCAATTGGAGGGTCATACTCAACTGTTCCAGAGCCAGATGTACAGGATGTCCCTGTTATATTCAGCACCATGTGAAAGATGTGACTGTGTAATTTGGGTTATATTTAGCTGTGGAACTGCAGAGGCCCAGATAAGCTGCGTATCGGGGTAAAATACGCATAGAAAATGTCCAATTACACATTGAAATATAATTGTTGCGTACCAATTACGCATTTAAAATGTTGGATACGCAAAAAGTTTAAAACAAATGCGTACGGAATATATTTATAAAAATCGCTCGCGTAATGAAAAAGACATCGATTGCTATCAAGTTGTCCTGTCAGTATAGGATGAGTGCTTTTTTATGAAATTATGTCCATTATATTTAAGTTGGTTTTGATTAGGTATGACATAGTCATAAGGCAGAACATACCTGCTTAGTTAACTTACTCAATGACATAATACTTATGTGAGTAATATGACTCAAATACGCACTTATTTGAAAGCAGTGGGTAACGGAAAATGAAATACCCACTCAACATTCATAATACCCACTCCAAAAAATTACAGTGGGTACAGTACCCACATGAGCTAAATTTTATCTGGAGCTCTGGAACTGGAGTAATAAAGGTTATATTTCCATGAAACTGGAGTAATTATTGTGAGATTTAACTGTGGAACCTGTGTCCGATTCTTGGTTTTCAGCACTGTACCCATGATAATGGGTTTCGTTGGAAAGTGAAGTGTCTGAATCACTTGAGGCTTGGTTCCTCCATTACGCTAGAACTGTGCTACAACTAGAGTTGGCAATTGGTTATAATCTCATAATTGATGATTGGTTCATTACAACCGATAAATCGAGAATATTTGGTGAGCATCATTTATCAAATTTTCATGTTATATGTTTGCTAATGCACAAAGGTGTTGGTTTTTTGCAAGTTCCACAAAATACATTTGCAAATTTCACGTCTTTATCTTAATGATAAATTCAATCATGTCTTGAATAGAGCTTGTAGTGTTTATGAAATGTAAATTTAAAGATCACATAAACCCTAGGGGGTGCAAATACATAAATCACTAACTGGCATCGTTATAAATGAAACCCCGTCATTAAAACTACTCATTTCGGCCTTTAATTGACTTAAATCGACCTTTTTGACAACGGTGCACAATTCTCACCCGCGAACGAAATTTCAACCAATCAGAGCGGCGCGTCTCTGTGACGTCATATGAGGAATAGCTTTGCGGGCCGATGCAGAATTCATCTACATTTTAGGGGGTAAATTATCTTGTTTACAGGCTTGTATAAACCTGAAATCGTGACAATTGTTGTGGAAAATGAAAGCTATATGTTCTCACAGTCACAATCGACTGTCATTTAATTTTGTCTCCTGCTTTGCCTAGTTTCCGAGTTACAACTTGTTTACATAGACGATTCTGTCAAAATCGATTGGTGTCGTTAGGCCCTATTTGTATAATGACTGATCCAAATTGATTCCATTTCTGTGTTTTTTTACCTCGATATTTAATCATGTCATTTAAAAATCTGTTTATATTCTCAAAACAGTGTCGGCCCATAAGTTTCCACATGCAATACAGCAATTAATGCTCCCTTGTTGTAACCCGTGTTAGGTGGTATAAACCTACACATGTTATTTGTCATCATTCACTTGATGGTCAGTTAGAGAATTTATAACAGGTATAACACTTAGATTACCCGACAAAGGTTCCCATTTGGCATTTCTTGTGTCTGGAGTAAATATTCAACGTTATAAACATCGATCAAAGGATTAACCGATAACACGCTGATTGATTAATTACTTTTATCTTACACAGCGGAATTGTCAAAAGGTAGTGTTTATGTATGTAGATTTACTAATCTATACTGAATACACTCTGTCGTGTCGGTGTTCGCGTAAAAACAACGCCCTTCTTTCAAAGGATTAACCGCAATACATTGATTGATTGATTGCCCATTATTGGCTAACTAAATTACTGTTTTTAAAGAAAGGCGGACATTATGCAATTAGTTGCCAGGTGTGCTATCTTGGGTGACCAATGAGACTATACACCAATACCTGAAAAGATTTATCACTTTTTCAGATATTAAACTGTTAAAAGACACATCATTTGGAACAGTTTTATGGATATTGATGGATACTTTCCTCGAACAAGGTAATGGCCTGATATTGTTCCTATAACTTTAATCTGTTTTAATTTTAATATTTGCTTTTTGTTTTTATTCATTTGTCGTGGCATTCAACAGAATCATTGTTTTCACGTGAAGTGTAATGAGACAGACAACATACACTAGGGTGTGTGTGCTAATTATGATTCACATTGGCAAACTATAACATGTCTAGATATTACAGTTCTGTTATAAATTCACTATAAGTATCAGCAGATCGCCTGCTTTGTATTTAGTTTCAAAATGCATACAAGTATGATAATAAACTATTTAAGATTATAAGACCAAATATAAAGACGCACATTGACTAGTATCTACATACTGGTGAGTGGACACTAACCATGTGAATGTAGCAAGAAATTTATCGCAGTATTGTGACTTGACCCACCTCGTTTCCGTGGAAGAAATCGCTATGTAATAAGTTGTGTCATGCAAAATCCGCTTGTTATGATTCAAATACATATTTAACCATTAGTAGAAAGTAGTTTTGATTTTCTAACTTGATGAAAACAAACTATAATCTCATTAATTCTAACAGACTTTACGATTTTCCAAAATGATGGCGCCCTGTCGGGAACATCCGCCAGTCTGAGGATAAATGCTATTTAGGTTTGTTTTCACCTAGTTACAAAATCAAAACTACTTTCTACTGGTAGTGAAATATGTATTTTATTGATGGCCAATAGGATTTTGCATGACATAGCGTATAACATAACAATTTCTCTCGTGGCAGCCAGGTGGGTGTCAATATAATACCACTTACAATATTATTGTTACTTCGACCATCTCCCACTTCCGAGGAAGAAATCGTTATGTTACAAGTTGTGTCATGGAAAATCTTTATGGTCATCAATCATATACACATTTTACTACTACTAGTAAGTAGTTTTGATTCTTTAACTTCCGTGAAGTGATCTGAACACAAGTAAGATATCGCTTCAGGCTTCCACAACGCCGCCGCGACTCACAAACATAACCCATTTAGCACTTAACTGTGGGGTCCTGTGGAAATCTGTGCATGGTGACACCATCACCCGACCCCTAGGAGCAATTGACGACAAAGCAACGATTCGCAAGTCGCCGTTGATGTCGAAATCATCAAAATGATAAGCGTGCTACACACTTTCTATACAACTAACTGAAAATCGTTCCTCATATGACGTCACTGCAGTGCTCTGGCGACAGAGTTACGTAACCTGTCTGTGGTTTCGTTGACGGGCGAGAGGGAAGCAGGCGACTTTTTGGCCACTTTTAATCGCTCGGTATTAATTAACCTCAAGTTTTTAAAGAATAAATTTGGTGTTCCGCATAAGACTAACCACAAATCTTTCATATGTAATGGTTAAAAGAGTAACAAAAAACAAAGTTTAGTGGTTCTTTAATGACACAGAGAAAACCAACCCAGTGAAAAATATTGTTAATGCAAACAAGTGTTCCAAAATTGTTTGTGTTCGATTATGAGATAACACAATCGATTGCTTTGTCGTTTAGTCACTGCGACCAATCTTCAATTATTTCAATTAATCGGACCACCACTACCTACAACAAAGATATTATTCAAACTGGGGTTATTTGAAAACAAGGTAACCCACCTGCATGTGAGATGAGGTGAGGTGAGGTGAAATTGGGTTTTACGTCATGCTTGAAGAATATTTCGCTCATATGATGACGTGCATGTGTGTGTATGTGTATGTGCGGCTGCTTGTACTAGCCCAGACTTAAGCTGGTTTTATAGTGCTAGCCCACATGCCGCAGTGAAGCATGAATACCCCACTCAGACACATTATACTGACTCTGAGCCGACCAGTCCTTGTTGTACCCATTAATGCCGAGCGCCAGGCAGGGACCAACAAGTACCATATTTTAACGTCTTTTGGCATGACGCAGTCGGGGATTGAACACTCAACCTTCCGCTCTCCGGGCGGACGCTCTAACCACTACACCACGCAGGCGGTCCCTGCATGTAGGCTTATTGTTTTGTCATGGTCAGTGTGTATCACCAGCAATACATCTAATGAAATTTGGGTCAGTCGAGTGTTGTATCTTTAGCTAACCTGACAATGAGTAACTATGGTAACTTGTCCAGATGCTGTTTCAGGCAATGTGTTGTTCTTTATATCTTTAGCTCACCTGACCACGAGTAACCATGGTAACTTGTCCAGATGCTGTTTCAGGCAATGTGTTGTTCTTTGGTTGTCGAAGCCAGTCTTCTGACTACTACTGTGGAGGAGAATGGGCGGAGCTGAGTGGGCGGGGCCTGCTGCAGGTGCTGACCGCCTTCTCCCGCGACCAGGAACACAAGGTCTACGTCCAGCACCTCATCAGGGACAATGCGGAACTTGTCTGGGATCTCCTTGACAACCATCAGGCCTGGTTCTTCATTGCTGGGTAAGACAGCTTATTGCACAACAATCAATTCTAGGCATTCATACTTCTATGTCTCACAACTGTAGAGGAGCTGCCCCCATGTCTTACAGCTGTAGTGGACCTGCTTCCTTGTCTCACAGCTGTAGTGGAGCTGCTTCCTTGTCTCACAGCTGTAGTGGAGCTACTTCCATGTCTCACAGCTGTAGTGGAGCTGATTCCTTGTCTCACAGCTGTAGTGGAGCTGATTCCATGTCTCACAGCTGTAGTGGAGCTACTTCCATGTCTCACAACTGTAGTGGAGCTGATTCCTTGTCTCACAGCTGTAGTGGAGCTGATTCCATGTCTCACAGCTGTAGTGGAGCTGATTCCATGTCTCACAACTGTAGTGGAGCTGATTCCATGTCTCACAGCTGTAGTGGAGCTGCCCCCATGTCTCACAGCTGTAGTGGAGCTGCTTCCATGTCTCACAGCTGTAGTGGAGCTGCTTCCATGTCTCACAGCTGTAGTGGAGCTGCCCCCATGTCTCACACTCCCTTGTCTCACAGCTGTAGTGGAGCTGCTTCCTTGTCTCACTGCATCCTTGTCTCACAGCTGTAGTGAAGCTGCTTCCTTGTCTCACAGCTGTAGTGGAGCTGCTTCCTTGTATCACAGCTGTAGTGGAGTTGCATCCTTGTCTCACAGCTGTAGTGGAGCTGCTTCCTTGTCTTACAGCTGTAGTGGAGCTACGTCTATGTCTCAGAGCTGTAGTGGTGCTGCTTCCATGTCTTACAGCTGTAGTGGAGCTACAATATCACAAAGCTTTTGTACAAAATCCAATTAGAAAGTAGACAGGATTAGGATTTTTCCTGAAGAAAGGGCATGGACAGGAATGACTCAAGGATCCAGGTTGTTTCAAAAGCCTGTTAATTATCATTAGGTATCTATAGTTACTCAACATCTAGTCTGAGACTCAGTCTTAAACACAGGATCTTCAACTGTTGCAGGAACGCCAAGAGGATGCCGGATGACGTGAAGGAGGCACTGCAGGATGTCGTGATGTCGGCTGGAGGGAGGAACGCCGCGGAGGCTGCAGAGTACATCACCCAGATGGAGGCCAAGAAACACTACCAGGTGGAGGCCTGGTCTTGATGTAACAGATCTGTTTAGCTGAACTGACTGGGTCTGGATATAACAGATCTGTTTAGCTGAACTGACTGGGTCTGGATATAACAGATCTGTTTAGCTGAACTGACTGGGTCTGCATATAACAGATATGTTTAGCTGAACAGACTGGGTCTGCATATAACAGGTCTGTTTAGCTGAACAGACTGGGTCTGGATGTAACGGATGTTTAGCTGAACTGACTGGGTCTGCATATAACAGATCTGTTTAGCTGAACAGACTGGGTCTGCATATAACAGATCTGTTTAGCTGAACAGACTGGGTCTGGATGTAACGGATGTTTAGCTGAACAGACTGGGTCTGGATGTAACGGATCTGTTTAGCTGAACAGACTGGGTCTGGATGTAACGGATCTGTTTAGCTGAACTGACTGGGATCTAATTAGCTGAACAGATATAACAGATCTGTTTAGCTGAACAGACTGGGTCTGGATGTAACAGATCTGTTTAGCTGAACAGACTGGGTCTGATGTAACGGATGTTTAGCTGAACAGACTGGGTCTGGATGTAACGGATCTGTTTAGCTGAACAGACTGGGTCTGGATGTAACAGATCTGTTTAGCTGAACAGACTGGGTCTGATGTAACGGATCTGTTTAGCTGAACAGACTGGGTCTGATGTAACGGATCTGTTTAGCTGAACAGACTGGGTCTGATGTAACGGATGTTTAGCTGAACAGACTGGGTCTGGATTTAACGGATCTGTTTATCTGAACAGACCTGGAAAATGGGAAGCCGGGGTTAATTAGCACTGATTGGTGACAGCACTCAACAAGTGGAAGCCAGCGGACTCGTATCCTAGTTAGATGGAGGCACGGACTAATTTATTGTGCATTGGAATTTACACCAGATCACTTGCAATTGTGATGGCCTATACACTGGTGAAACCCTAACACCCCTGAACACCAGGCTCAAAAAACATCTGTCAATAGCTCAACCAGAAGTGTGTCACTTCTAGATTCCTTTTAAAGATGTATGCCAATCAGATCTTGGTGTAACAGATCTAACTGAATGATTGATTACAGGTATAACTAAAGCATGAACAAAATGACGGATGATGGAACAAGATATGATGACTGTTTTAATTGAACTGTATATTTTACTTTTACAATGCATATGTATATGTAAATATACAGATAATATATACATGGTCTTATGTTCAGTCTCCAAGGATATAAGCACTTGAGATGGGAAAACCATGCTAAAACCATCATACATTTTTATTTTGACAGTTAAGAAAGGTTGAAAAGGTTTAACTGCAAGACATCGGGTTTAACTGCAAGACATCAGGTTTAACTGCAAGACGACAGGTTTAACTGCAAGACATCAGGTTTAACTGCAAGACGCAATGTTTAACTGCAAGACATCGGGTTTAACTGCAAGACGACAGGTTTAACTGCAAGACGACAGGTTTAACTGCAAGAAATCAGGTTTAACTGCATGACATCAGGTTTAACTGCAGGACATCAGGTTTAACTGCAAGACATCAGGTTTAACTGCAGGACATCAGGTTTAACTGCAAGACATCAGGTTTAACTGCAGGACATCAGGTTTAACTGCAGGACATCAGGTTTAACTGCATGACATCAGGTTTAACTGCATGACATCAGGTTTAACTGCATGACATCAGGTTTAACTGCAAGACATCAGGTTTAACTGCAAGACATCAGGTTTAACTGCACGACATCGGGTTTAACTGCAGGACATCAGGTTTAACTGCATGACATCAGGTTTAACTGCATGACATCAGGTTTAACTGCATGACATCGAGTTTAACTGCGAGACATCAGGTTTAACTGCATGACATCAGGCTTAACTGCAGGACATCAGGTTTAACTGCATGACATCGGGTTTAACTGCGAGACATCAGGTTTAACTGCAAGACATCGGGTTCAACTGCGAGACATCGGGTATAACTTATCGTCATGGTAGTATTTATAAACATCTATTCATTCGATGGTGCATGCATGTGAAATGGTTTCGAAGAATTGAACTGATTAATACCATGTGTGGCAATACGACATTGACCATCAATAATTCTTTCATATTCAAAATTATATGATTTCTTTTATAGAAATTATGATTATTATATATTGTTAAGATGTTGCTCGTTTCAAGTAACTATTGACATGAAACGTGTGACCCATGGAGATCCCGATTAGAGATGGTCTTCAACAATTCAAGTCATCGGGTGGTCAGGCTCACTGACTTGGTTCATGCCTGTCATTGTATCCTACTTGTGTTGATCGATGCTTATGATGTCAACCACTGGATTGTCTGTCCCAGACTCGGTTATTTGCAGACTGGCACCATATAGCTGGAATATTGCTGAGTGTGGCGTTAAACAAAAAACAAACAAAGAAAACGAGTCTACTGCATTTCCGTACTATTTTTATGTTAGGTTTTTCAAAGAATTAAATCCATCGGGAAGCTAAAGTTCATCATACATAGTGCCAGAGTTACTAGGATATAGACAACCTAGAACTTGATAGCATGTGATCATCCTCCGGCCAGGGGGGCGGTGGGGTAGCCTAGTGGTTCAATTGTTCGCTCGTCACGCGGAAGACCCGGGTTCTATTCCCCACATGTGTAAAACTCACTCACTCGGGGAAGGGTGACCCACAACACACCAGGTAGCTGTCATCGGCCATGAAGACCTCTTTGACTGCTTGCTGGCTCGGTAGTTTGTGACAGTGTAAGCACCAGGTATTTCGTGTGTAGTTAAATCCGTTGCATGGGTTACGAACCAAGGTACTTTGATGCTGCCAGGTGTGACGTATGTAGCAGAGTGTGACGTAGGTACAGAGTGTGACGTAAATAGCAGACTGTGACGTATGTACAGACTGTTGACGTAGGTAGCAGACTGACGTAGGTTGCAGACTGTGACGTAAGTAGCGGGATGTACACGAATACACCGGTGGCTCAGTGGTAGAAGCGGCCACATGTGTCACCGAGGGCCAGGGTTCGATCCCCAACGTCGGTAACATCCATCCATCCATCTATCCATCCAGAACATTATCATGTATAAAATGTATTCCAAATGAAAGAAATTAACAGCCAAAATCAGACTAAACAACGGAGAAGAAATGCACAAAATACGTCTTAAAGGGGAGTTACGCTCGGGTCTGCAGGCCCATGAACTTAGATATAAGATTTTCCACCACTTACAGAGTGAGACAGCATGCATGGATCTCCATCTCACGTGGACAAACAGGCCCCAGTTACACGACCTCTGTACTGTGTTGAATACAGCTCTCAACGCTTAGTGGTTCAACTTCGACCATATTTTCAGTCTCAAGAATGAATTCGAAGCTGCTTAAGCAGGCAAATCTCGACTTTATTATGTATACCAATTCAACTTTACAGTCAGTAGTTGCACGTCGTTTCGCTTTCTCCCGTGTAAGTAAATACAGTGCTGGGTAGGGAACTGACACTACATTGCACAGATGGCACCAGTGTATTCAGAATTAAAGTACAATCATTGTGTTAGGAAGGTGTTGACATAATGCACTTCATAACACCCCGTATCAATGTTCGTCCACAACTCTTCAGGGACACCATTCATAAAGAGTGTACACTCCTGGTTCTTGCGGATGTTGAACCGTTTGAACCCGGCCTCTTCTATCGCCTTCAGCGTGTAGAGTCGTCTGAGGAGCTCGCCTGTGCTGGGATTTATGTCGGTGTTGTACTCCACAAACAGCTGCCGGACCTGGCTGAGCTCTCTGTTCTGGATCATGTACCGGAGCACCTTCCACTCCCTGCCATTCAAGTCTATCCTCAGGACGTCTATCGTCGTCTGAAACAGGTGACCAGGTGTGTCAACCTTGCATGTAGGATACAAGTTTGTGTTTACTCATGTTAGTACATACTACTCAATGTTTGGGTATTCGGAGTGTCCACACATTGACAGCTTGCGTCTGATCGCTGGAACAAGTTGCCACACAAATACTATACGATATAGCCCAGGAACTGACTCGGTAATTAATTTATCATTCACTTAAACTACTGTTTTAAGTTTTGTAACGGTATGAAATATATCAATGCCCCTATCAACAGTTGAGTATCTATCAGATCAAGCAGCTCGTATAGTTTTGTACATACATATGTTTATGTGCATTGGTAAAGGGCTGACATCATGACAACTCATGTCAAATGTAGAGACTGACCTCGTCGTGATTGAGTGCATGTCTGATCTCCGTCAGCGTCATCACGCGGCTGCTTTTACTCAAACTGTTTCCCAGAGCGTAGTCGAAATACTGGACCGACTTGGCCTTGACCTCTTTGTCTTGCTTCATGCTGAGGACAAGAAGATTCACGAAGTAGACACACGTATTTGAACAGTGCTTCAGTCATATCATGTGTCATGATGTGTCATGATGTGTCTGCATAATGTGGGAGGAAATCCCGAAAGGCAAGTCATTGATGTTTGTGGTGCTGAAATACCATAGATGGACGAATCTGGGATTCGAACCCTGGCATCGTGAATGGATCAACAATGAATGGCTACGACGAATGGATGTAATGTCTTACAGAATATGTCAGTTACTGAGTTAGACAGTAACACTATCACAGGAATTCTAGGCTAGCTATTCTCGAAACGTTCGTAGCCCTACAAACTTCTTAAGCCCATTCTTAACACATTGGCTACGATCAAAGTTAAGATTTCTTGGTGAGTTAAGACAATCAGCATCGTAAGACATTAGTAAGTCCACGGGTGATCAGGCTCGATGACTTGGTTGACACGTCATCATATCCCAATTGCGTAGATCGATGCTTATGCTGTTGATCACTGGATTATCTCGTCCAGACAGACGCCATATAGCTGGAATATTGCTGAGTGCTGCGTAAAAGTAAACTGACTCACTCCTGATTTTGTCTAAAGATGAATATCGCGGTAGAAAGTCAAGCAGTGAGTGCAATTACTAAGTGCGGTAAAAACAATGACCCACATAACAATGTTCTGAAGGAAACACAAAGAGATCGGGGTTGTCTTACGTCGGGTCGAAGGAAAACACCTCACAGTCGTACAGCCGAGCGAGATCCTGGTCAAACTGGAAGCTTTTACCCCAGTGTGAACTGTAAGGGAAGGAATAAACAATATTGGAAAGTAACTGTATATAATGATGTTTTCAGTATTGCAAACAACACGTGCGTATTGACTGACATAGAGTCTCTGAAAAATAGTACATGTTATTCTATAAATCAATCCTCGAATATTAAGGGACCTTTTTTTATTTTCCATATTTCATGGGACAGGCAAACATGTATAGATATGTTTTATATTAATACAATGGTATGTGTATACATGTATAAACATGTAAAATTTGCTCAAAATGTTCAGTTGGTAGGATTATTTTCCCAGTAATAAATATAAAGTTGAGCAATATTGAAAATACAATTGCCTTCAAGTCTTATTTCAGGGCCTATAGGGGGCGGTGGGGTAGCCTTGTGGTTAAAGCGTTCACTCGTCACGCTGTTGACCCGGGTTCGATTCCCCACATGGGTACTGTGTGTGAATCCCATTTCTGGTGTCCCCCGCCGTGATATGATGGAATATTGCTTAAAACGGCGTAAAACCAAACTCACACTACAGGGTCTACAGCTGAAGGAGTGATGAGTAAAGGCTGCAGGAGAAGAGGATGGAATTGGCTGATCATCTTCTTGAAGACCTGCTCTGTGGTCTCTGGGAGGGATTATGGATTTATGAGTTGTCAAAACATTGAACGCACGTACCCGACTGAGTTAGCAACACCATCCCATTGCCACCCGGTTAAGCTTAACGTTGACTGTACCTACCCACACTGTCAAGCAAGGCTTACGAAATAACTACGAATGATCAAGCTCAGCGTTGAAGTGTCTACCTGAACGATCAAACGTTTAAAGTGCCTACCCGATTAATCAAGTAAAGCTTTGAATGCATCTTCCCGAATGATTTAGTTAAGCTTTGAATGTACAAGTAGTAGATATTTACCCAGTTCCGGACACAATAGCATTCCTCAGAGTACAAAGACATTCCAGGGGAGAACAATAACATTCCTGACGAGAACAATAGCATTCCTGAAGAGTAGCTCCACACATTCCTGTGGAGCAGCCTTACATACCGGTACCTGTGGAGCTAGTGGAGCACATTCCATAAATTCCTCACATATCATGAGCTGTACTTTTAACCCTAGCAGGTAAAGAGTTAAGTAACATCATTATATAACGAGATGACTCACCTGGATCGGAATGTGTTATGAAATAATATGAATAGGAGCCAAGTAAATATACATGAATAGGTGTCAATTGGAATGGTTGGAATGTTTCTCACCTGCATAAACACATGCTGTGAACAATAGCATTCCATTTAAAGAATCATTTTATCCAACCAAACTGTATGTGTACTACCCTAAACCAATCACACAGTGGATGTTCTACACAATCCCATGTTGCACCTTTCACTATAAGGCATTTTAAATCTCACTAGCCACAAGGAGTTTGAAAGAGCATCTTTGCTTGTGAATTCAGTATGGCACAGAAGAGTTTGGACATATGCCCATTTCAAATGACCAGTTACTCACTTGTGTGTTTCAAGAAGTGAAGGATATTCTTAATACTCAGGTACATTTGCATGAAACTATGATGCGGACAAGCGAGTTGTACAAGACCACCTAGTATAGAATACGTGGCGATGTCCTGCTTTTGCCGGATCCTAATTAATTATGCACGATAACTCATTAATATGCAAATGTAGGCATGACATCACAAGTCAGAAAGGTTAATGAACAGGTGTTTGTTTTTATGCACTCTTGCAATTAATGAGCCAAGCTTTCATTAACGGAAAACAATGCACAGTAATTATCATAGTACCATATTTAGACAAGCGAGCGCTCATAAACCTATTTAAAAAACGCGCGTGCTAAGTGCTGATTGGTTTATTTAAATCATGGGTTAATTTAATCATGCACATCGATGCAAATGAGGTCAGCAAGGTGAAAGAACCAGTGTTTGTTTTGACGCACTCACGATATTAACAACCCGAGCCTTCATTCATGGAAAGAGATGCATAGTAATTAAGCGTAGTAGCCATGCCATATTTTGAAAAGCGTGCATTTCACGTAACCATGCGACCTTCCTGACATGACATTCCATGCAACGTGAATCGGAGATAATAAATAAGCTTCAAGACGTGATGAAACATAGTAATGCACTAATAAGCTATCTTAAATTACACCCTTCGTTAAGCGAACGCATGTAGCTTACAACACGATCGCGGCCTTGTGAAACTGAACACGTGTGTAAACATGGGTGTGTCTTAACCACCAAGAGAGAGTCCACATGAATCGCTCGCTATAACACGTCCTATATTATTTCAATGTCTGCGACGAGAAAATCTCGCCTATGCACCTTGTAACGAAATCAGACCCTATATGACTCACGTCTGTATCAACACTTATAGTGTCAAATGGTTTTATTTGGCCTGAAAGTATTAAGAAATAAAGTTTAATCCTGAATACATTTTGTAGAAAACAGTTCTATCATCGCATAATGCTAAGTACATTGGATATTACAGTCATGTATATATGCGCATATCCCTGAACATATACCTAACGATACCAACCCTCTGTAATTTCAAAACTGTCAGGTAACAGCTGTTTATACATTCTCATTATATAATCTAACATCGGGAATGAATATTAGAAAATGTATAAAGGTCAGAAAGGTCAACAGGAGTTACGTATGGTTTGTGACACCTATCACTGATCGTTATAAAACAGCATAGTGTAAAGAATGGAATGAATTTTGGAATGGAATTTGGAGTGACACAAATTTGCTATTTATAAACAAGTCTCCACTCTAATATGCTAAGACAGTTTATAAACAGCTGGTCACTGATATAGGGCTCGTAAGCTAAGGGACGGGTGTCAGCTTCTCTCTTCCGCCATGGCCCATCCGCCACACACACAAAGGCACATGACACAGGGGGAATAAGTTTAGAGTTTAAATAACATTTTCTAGGTTATGTAGATAATAAGAACAATAATAAGAATGGTCGATGGCATGTGCTGTCTACGTATCTAGACTTGATTATAATGGGGATAGAATTACTCATATATATCCCTGCAATAATTATTCTCTACATCTTTGAAGCAAGGCTAACTGCATGCCTGTATGGTGGCAGGCACGTGTTTAAAGGTCCATCTAACAAATTTAAATTTAGTTTCAATTGTTATCTGAATCCAGGATATAGAGCAAGTCTAATGCTGAAAACATCCATTTATGAATCAAGTATGGTTTATGAATGTAATTCATTTGTCTTGTACTATAATACGGTATCATATTAATCAGACATATAAACCCTACTGTTAAAAGAGCTGTTTCACTAGTAGGTCGATTATTCCATTGAACTTGAAGTAATATTTAAACTTCAACTGAGCAGGCGCTTGCATGCGAATCGCTTGTAACGAGGTCACTCATAACAAAACAAGACCGGCTGTGTGTCATTTACACTGCAGCTTGCCTTGTCATAATTGTGGTTTAACTGCATTACTCTTAACCGCCAAGATATAGTCCCCCTCAACGAAAACAGACTGTCCACGTCTCCTGTAACACATATGGAAATTTCACTTGATAAATATCAAGAAATGTAATTCCTGGATCCCCAAAAATATACATTTTGCATTAATTCACCATATTTCCATGCTATATGTTATTTTTGGAGGTCTTTTTTTTCAAGCTAAAAGACAGGCTTGGTTGTTATGGTTATATAAAAGGCACAATGTTACGCATTTTCGATACTATTTTGGCCTATATTTTATATATTGGGGACATATGCACTCACAATAGCTTCCAATGGATGCAGTAAAACATAAGAAAAGCAAGATTTATGGATGTCAACACTTCTTTATTGTGAATAACACGACGTTTTGGAGTGTATGCTTGCTCCTTCATCAGGAGGGAGTATAAGGGAGAATATATATATATATACATACGTGAGGCACTTATAAAGAAAACATGTTTAATAAGTTAACAATGTTGAGGAAAGAATATTTAATACAAACATGAGGGCAGTGATACACTAAAACAACATGGTAATAGATCCTAGTAGTATAGGGAATGGGGGTTCTGTGACAGGCCGATTAAGAGCGTCATTATATATCTATTCCCGCTTCCAGCCCCCAGTATAAATTAACAATTTCAAGCAGAGACACCATTCGATGCACATCCCAGACCCCTATAGGAGCCTTAAAATCTGTAGGGTACCATGAGTTTCGGAAACCCCCGGGCGGGAACGAGGACTGCAATACACGGTGTCGGATGCTAAGTTCCCGGTCATAGAATGGGGATTCTGTGACAGGCCGACTAAGAGTGTCATTATATACCAATTCCGCTTCGAGCAGAGACACCATTCAATGCACAGCCCAGGCCAACTAAGAGCACTAATTTCACCACTCAGTGGTTTATGAGCGTGTGCCCGTACGCGTAAGTCGTGACGCCGTCGGCGGCGATCCACCGTTTGGTGTCCATGGGCGACAGCGACGTCTTGTTGAGGGTGATGCGCCGATGATGTTGTGTTTGTCGCTTCTCAACGCTCAGCGTTCATTCGGTGTTTGAACGTCTTATTCTTGAACAGAGCTTGTTTGAAGAGGACGTGCTTGATGTGTTGTTTCACCACGTATTTCTTGACCCCTTTTGCCTTTCGGATCTCACCCTTGTCAGCTTTCAAGATGGAGTACATCTTAGGCCTCAAGCCGACGTATTCGGCGATGGGTGTGCCCGCGCATTCGTCCTTCATCTTACCAAGGACCTTTTTGTTGATCGTGTTGTGTAGGGCATGGTCCTTGGGGTAATCGCTGGTGTCGTACAGGTGTATGTGTTTTGCCATGTCCTTGTACACGTCCTGGGTGTGTATATCCAGCAACAAGGAATCCGTGTCCGTGTACAGCAGCTCGCATCGATCACCGTATTGCTTCTTGAGCTGGTTGTAGTAGAAATCATACATGAGATGTTTGGACAGGTCGAGAATGCTCATCCCCACGAGGCGGTCGGTTGAGCTTGATGTGACTTTTTGTTCATGTGCAGCGCGCCAAGTCGTT